GGCTGAAGGGCTCATTAAAAAGCTGGAGCAGGAAATGACTGCGCTGAAGAGGAGAAGCACTGAGCTGGAGCAGCTCTCACACAGTGAGGACCACCTCCACTTCCTCCAGAGCTTCCCATCCATGTGCACCCCTCCACCCACCAAGGACTGGTCTAGGATCAGTGTTCACAGTGGTCTGTGTGATGGGACTGTGAGGAGAGTTTTAACACAGCTGGAGGAGATACTTATGAGAGAAATTAGGACGTGTAATGCTGAGTTGAAGAGGGTTCAGCAGTATGCAGTGGAGGTGACTCTGGACCCTGATACAGTAAACCCCCATATCATCCTGTCTTCAAATTGGAAACAAGTGAGATATCAAGACGTAAAAAAAGATAGTCTGGATAACCCAGAGAGGTTTTCCACCTGTCTCTGTGTTCTTGGAAAGAAAAGCTTCTCCTCAGGAAGATTTTACTATGAGGTGATGGTTCAGGGGAAGACTAACTGGGATTTAGGAGTGGCCAGAGAGTCCATCAACAGGAAGATGAATATCAAACTGAGCCCTGGAAATGGATACTGGACTGTGACACTGAGGGAAAGGAATAAGTACCTAGCCTGTACCTCCCCACCTGTCCTCCTCTCCCTGAGAGAGAAGCCCCAGAAGGTGGGAGTGTTTGTGGATTATGAGGAGGGTCAGGTCTCCTTTTATGATGTGGAGGCCAGGTCTCATATCTACTCTTTCACTGGCTACACCTTCACTGATAAACTCTATCCATACTTAGGACCTTGTGTTAATTATGGGACTGAGAACTCTGCCCCTCTGATCATCTCTCCTGTCAATCACACAAACTGAGGATGACATTTTGACATTGCACAAATGTGGACATTGCACAAACCTGTAAAATACTCTGCATGGCACTTGATTCCATTAAGTTTAAAATACTGCACTTTGCATTAACATCACATGCATCACATATAGAGATTGTTTATGGTAAGCCCTCATAAATTATTACAGCAAGCATCTTCATGGGAACCACAAAAAGAGAATGACATTTAAAAAATCCCTGCAAATATTTTGAGGATGAATATCAGATGATCAATTTGTTCCAGTCTATTCCGTGTGGTAATTTCTTAGATGTACAGAATGTATGTTTATGTAATAATGTGGTAGTTGATGTAGTTGTGTTGTGATTGATTTCATGTCATCTCTGGCAATGATTTAGCAGCTTCTTCATGGTTACAAGTGCATGGGGACAAAACTTTACAACAACACAACACACAACTATGTTTTGGAGTGCCTTTCTCTTGTTGGGTTTGCTCTGACTTTGATTGTAACACTTAAGCAAAACTCCTCACATCATTACATTTGAAAGAAACACCATTAAAGAAACATAAAGCAGTGAGTACATTTTAAAGTTTATTTACCTCCCCCCTGTTTTGACCCTCTAAGTTTTACATGTTTTTATGTACATGGGAATGGTTGGGACAAACCCCTTTCCTTGGTTCCTCACCTCTTGTTAGTTTATCCCAGACTTCTTTATTTCATACACACTCACACACTGCATGAAAAGGCACATTTACGGGTCGAACACTGTCCCGTACATCTCCGATAACAATTACATATACATGTCCGTATATGTGGTCTGTTATCGGATATGTACGGGACGTGTGCAGAGATTTTCGGACTGTGCACTCCAGTGTTCACCCGTAAATGTGCTTTTTCATGCAGTCAACTCCTCCAGATTAACTTGGAAACAGCCTGGATCATATCACTGCTTACAGACCAGACAGCCTGTATAATAAGGTAAGTGGGGTTTGGACTGAATGGATATATTCACATCACAGGAGGTTGGTGGCACCTTAATGGGGGAGGACGGGCTCGTGGTAATGGCTGGAGTGGAATGAAATGATGCCATTCCATTGGCTCCGTTCTGGCTATTATTATGAGCCGTCCTCCCCTCAGCAGCCTCCTGTGGTTCACATGTTGAGTTGGGCTTGTTTCAGCCAAGAAGCCCTATAAGAACACTAGGCACATTTATTGGGATGACATGATAAGAGTGGATTTATATAGCACTTTCCTACCAACTGAGGTGCTCAAAGCGCTTTACACATCAGCTGATATATGCCAATTAGGAGGCCAGGTTGGGAATTTAGCCATGACACCAGGGTTAACACCCCCTACTCTTACAATAAGTGCCATGGGATTTTTAATGACCACAGAGAGTCAGGACACCCATTTATCATCCCATCGGAAAGACAGCACCCTACGCAGGGCAATGTCCCCTTCACTGCCCTGGGGCATTAGGATCTTCTTAGCCAGATGAAAGAGTGCCACCTACTGGCCCTCCAACACCACTTCCAGCAGCATCTGGTCTACCTCCAGGGACCGACCCTGCTTAGCTTCAGGGGCAAACCAGCAGTGGGATGCAGGGTGCTATGCTGCTGCCAGTATACTGCTGACATAATAGTTATAAGGTTATGTTGCAGCCCTGTGTGTGGCAGTGGTAAGCTACATGACTTAAGTTTACATGGGCTCTGGAGGCAACTGACCCTTTAAACGGCCATAACATCCACATTTTGACCTTCAAGAAATTGTCTGATTTTATTAATTGATCAAATGTGCTGGACAGAGAGCAAGAATGACTTTCCGTTAACTACACATTGCTACCAGTGATAAAGCTGCAGATGGATTCCAAGGTTATATTCCCAGATAATACAATTCAAGACACTGAGCAGCACTTTATGGAAACACTTCTTCCCATAGTAAAATACCCCTCTACAATACTGTCTGTATACATTGTATGACACACATCTGAAGTGAATCAAAAGCTTTAAAATACTGCATCGATGGTAAATATCATAGTCGAGACAAAATAATATTCCAACACGTATACCGGTACATAGAATAGCTATTTCTATTTCTTACTATACAGGCCTATTCTCCTACTTAATGCATTGTTCTTCGGCATGGTTTTCTCCAGGGTTGCTGAGGACACTATGATTGGCGGCCTAATCTCTACCAGAGACCTCTATACAGACTAGGTCTATTTGACTCTGATCTCTACCTCTCTGATTCTGTCACAACAATCCTTAATTACAGCTAAAACATTTCTTCTTTACCTTCAACTTAGTCACATTTAATGTGGTGTCAGTGGTTGGGCATCACTCTCTTTTCAGCCGTTTTCTTCCAATAAACTGATTCCCTGGGATGTCACCCAGTTGAATTTAAAACGGTAAGGGTAAAGGTTAGGGTTTCGTGTAGGGACGTCCGAAGGTTCCCAGTGTAGCACTAACCCTTCCAGTGCAGAGCCCATTACGGTGGCTCAGCAGGCCAAACAGTGCTTACAGAGTTCTCATGGCCCCTGCTCACCCGCTGTAAACAGTCTTACAATGATGAGCAAAGAGTGGAACACAAGTCGAGAAGGAATCCACAGTTCAGGTACGTGTGGTCCAGAGGTGAGTTAGGAAGACAGCTCTGTTTGACCAGACGTCTGAACAATCCAATGCTGTAGCCTAGCGGTCATAGTGTGGTCATGGGTTAGTTCACCGTTTCCCAAACTCGGTCCTGGGGACCCCAAGGGGTGCACGTTTTGGTTTTTGCCCTAGCACTACACAGTTGATTGAAATTATCAAAGCTTGATGATTCGTTAATTATTTTAATCAGTTGTGTCAAGTGCTATGGCAAAAACCAAATTGTGCACCCCTTGGGGTTAGTTTGTGTTTTTCTATGATAGGGCCTTGAATGGTGGGACTGTAAACAGAATCTCATGTTCTTTTTCACAAAAAACTTGCCTCATATGATTTGGTAATATATGTTTCATTGTCACATATACTGGACAGGTGCAGTGAAATGTGTTATTTTACAGGGTCAGCCATAGTAATGTAACACCCCTGAAGCAAATTACTGTTGAGTGCGTTGCTCAACAACAGATTTTTTTCACCTTGTCGGCTCAGGTATTCGAACTAGCAACCTTCCGTTTACTGGCCCAACACTCTAACCACTAGGCTATCTGCCGTCCGTTAATGCACCGGCCTACTGTGTCCGTTCAGTGGCCGATTTAATTTCTTAAAACAACGTGAGGTCTTCCATCTGTAACGGTTCATTGGTTCAAGAAATGTTGTCGCCAATATCAAGGTAATGTGTGGATGAGAAAGGGGCCGTAGGTCTTTACAAAGTAGGTTCTCTTGGAGTGGATGTGTCTCCATTCTTACATTCGTTCATTCGTCTTTTTCTCCTTCTGTTCTTTCCAACAGCAGTAGCTCTCCTTTCCCCCTCCAGAGTGATGGGTATGAAGCTGGAACTTTGTGTTACATTATCTTTACCTCTGATGGGCACCAACACCTGTGAACAAAGAACACAATTAGATTTACCAATGGCAACATAAGCATATGGATATTGATCCCATGAAAGTATATCAGATCATTCACAAAAAGCACACACACCTTTGTACTGTATATGGCTGTTTATATGGAATTACCAGTCTCTGTGGGGAGAGAAATGAGAGGTTAGCATTGGTAACATCTCTATGAATACCACTACAGCTCTTGTACTTGTAGTAACAGAGACACACCAGAAGGTGGCAAGTAATGAGGAAAAGTCACCAATCAGTAGTAAGGTAATGACATTCTTATCTAAATGGCTCAGAGGCCTCCTCTATAAACATAGTTAATCAGTGGATGATGCATACATTACTGCAACAGAACAATTAATCACTTTGCCACCTGGGATATACACCACACAATCCAGTGTTGTGTAAAATCAGACATCTTGAAACTGTGATATTGATGATGGAGGTCTCACGATTCTGGCAGAATATTAATATGAGCCGAAATGAGACTCAATCACTGTATTCTCTCTCTCTCTCTCTCTCTCTCTCTCTCTCTCTCTCGTCTTATAGATGAGAATGTTAAGTCAGACATCTTGAAACACTGATATTGATAATTGAGGGTGTCTCGGATTTTGGAAGCAGAGCCTACTAGACTAAATTTGAATGTGTGCCCAATTGAGACACTCTCTCTCTCTCTCACTCCTCTCTCTCCTCCTGTCCTATAGCTGATAATGGCTTCCTCCCTCTGTTCCACAGCGTTCTCCTGCCCCAACAGGCAGCCCTAGCTGATGCTGATCCAGCTCTTGTGATTCATTTAGACAGGCTGACAGCCAAGCTGTGTAAACAGCCATTAGTAATTCATGACTACCTAAATTATCTCCCTTTTTTCTTCCATCTTATGTTCTACATCTCTCTCTTTTTTCTTTTCCTTCCCCCCTTCTTGTCGTTTTAGCCACTCTCTTTGACTCCGCCATCTTGTTTTCTTCTCTCTCTCTCTCTGACTCACCAATCCCCAATCCCATTGGTAATAACAGCAAGCAGGTGTTATGTGAGAAGCAGTTAAAATATGCTAATTGCTTGTGGCTCGTGTGTGTGAAATTATGCTGAAAATGCTTGCATAAAAAAGGGACGGAATATGAATGTCTACCGTGTGGGATGTGGGGTTCTGACAGAAGGGTACAGTTGCTACCTTTGATACACACCCACCCCATGCTATGGGCTTTGGAGGAGGGGGTTGATAAGAAGTTTGTATTTATCAGCCAAAATGCACTAAACCCCAAGATATGGGAGATGTGGAAGGGTCTGGAGGAGAGGGTGCTCAGACTTCTGTTACAGAGGTTCTGTTATTCTGTGCATCAGTGTTCTTCACTCCTGGTCCTGGAGAGCCAAAGGGTGTGCAGGTGTTTGTTCCCACCCAGCACTAACACATCAGTATGGTGCTGCCCTTCAGAGACAGATAGACACCCTGTGGGTCCCCAGGAGCAGGGCTGAAGAACATTGCTCTATGACCTAACACAGACTTCAACTATCACTTTGTGAGACAGCCTCTGTATGGCATGCTCATATGAGGAAAGTCCACAGCTCGTATTCACAAAGCATTTCAGCGTAGGAGTGCTGATCTAGAATCAGGTCCCCCCTCTCCATGTAATCTTATTCATAACGACCTAAAATCCCAAACTGATCTTAGATCAAGTGTTGTCCTTACTATCCAGCAGCTCATCAGCCATCAGCCCATCCTGACGGTTTCCCAGGACGAAGGCCAGGAAGGAGAGTATCAGGGCGTCCATGATGCCCATGATAGCCAGGATGTAGGCCCAGCGCACGGAGCACGCTCCCAGGGTGTACTTGTCTGTCTGCTCCCCACACATCCTCTTCACCTCGTCACTGTCCCAGCCGTCTGGGTAGATCATGCAGCCCAGAATCAGGCATGTACCTGGGAGAGAGGGGAGAGGGAGAGAGGGAGGGATGGGGGGAGAAAGGAAGAAGAGTGTGAGAAAGGGGGAGATTACAGAAATAGAGAAATACAGAAAGATGGAGAGATAGAAAGAAAGAGACAAAGAGAGATGGAGTTAGCATATCCCTTACCATATCTATGCAGCATTCTAAATTTAACCTCCTCCCCCTGTAATCTCTCCTCTCCTCCTCCCACTGTTGTCCTCTCCTCTCCTCCTCCCCCTGTAGTCTCTCCTCCATCCTCCTCCCACTGTTGTCTCTCCTCTCCTCCTCCCCCTGTAGTCTCTCCTCTCCTCCTCCCACTGTTGTCTCTCCTCCTCCCCCGTAATCTCTCCTCTCCTCCTCCCCCGTAATCTCTCCTCCTCCCCCTTAGTCTCTCCTCTCCTCCTCCCCCTGTAGTCTCTCCTCTCCTCCCCCCCTGTAGTCTCTCCTTCGTTCCTCCCTGTGTCTCCTCCTCCCCCTGTAGTCTCTCTCTCTCCTCCCGTGAATCTCTCCTCTCCTCCTCCCCCGTATCTCTCCTTCTCCTCCCCCGTAATCTCCTCTCCTCCCCCTGTATGCTCTCTCCTCCTCCCCGTATTCTCCTCCTCCCCCTGTAGTCTCTCCTCCTCTCCATGGCCTCCCCCCCGTACTCTTCCTCGTAACTCTCCTCCTCCCCCGTAATCTCTCCCTCTTCCTCCTCCCCCCGTAATTCTCCTCCCTCCTCCCCTGTAGTCTCTCCTCCTCCCCCTGTAGTCTTTCCTCCTCCCCCTGTAATCTCTCCTCCTCCTCCCCCGTAATCCTCCTCCCATCCCGACGTCTGCTAAAGCTTAAGTAAAATGTAAATGTGCTCTCCTCTCCTCCTCCCCCTGTAGTCTCTCCTCTCCTCCTCCACTGTGTCTCTCCTCCTCCCCCGTAGTCTCTCCCTCCTCCCCCGTAATCTCTCCTCTCCTCCTCCCCCTGTAGTCACAGCAGCAGAGTCCGGAGTAGAGGCATTTGTGTGTGTTAACAGTTGTGGAGGGGTACAGTGCTGTCAGAGGCTACGCTAAAGAGACAGAGAGATAAACAGATAGATTTAAGAGATGCATAATCTCAGGAAATGAAAGAGAGCAGCCCTCTTTCTTTCTCTCCATCCATCCATCCATCCCTCTCTCTCTTTCCTTCCTCCCTCCCTCTCATTCACTCACAGAATCTCAGGAAATGACAGAGTATCACAGAAGCAAGATGTGTAACCTGTTTCCACAAGAAAAGGGCAACCAGTGAAGAACAAACACCATTGTAAATACAACGCATATTTATGTTGATTTATTTTCCCTTTTGTACTTTAACTATTTGCACATCGTTACAACACTGTATATAGCCATAATAGGACACTTGAAATGTCTCTATTATTTTGGAACTTTTGTGAGTGTAATGTTTACTGTTAATTTTTAATTGTTTATTTCACTTTAGTTTATTATCTATTTCACTTGCTTTGGCAATGTAAACATATGTTTGCCATGCCAATAAAGCCCTACGAATTGAATCAAATTGAAAGGGGCGGAGAGGAACTGGAGAAACTGAGAAAGACACTCCCCACTGTGTTTCTGTTCTCTCAGTCTGTTGTTTCCTGTTAGTCTTGAGTTAAACATGGACAGGCCATGATGATATGGATCGTAATTATGGTAATAATAATACAAACAGTGCTAACTGGTCTATAATAATGCACAATGATGTTAAAGCATGTAATAGCTATAATCTACATCCCACACCCTCTACACCAGGGGATCCCCAATTACATTCAGCCGCGGGATGATTTTTTCTTGAGAGGATGGTCGGGGGGCCGGAACATAATTAGAAATAATTTGTACTCTGCAAATTGACCGCAAGAAGGCCAAACCGATAGTATTTGACAAAAACATAATCATTTCAACCCTTGATTACATTGGGATATGATCACATATAAAAGACATCTGTCCACACACTCAATCAAACAGACTCCAACCTCTCCACAATGGCCAAGACCAGAGAGCTGTGTAAGGACATCAGGGATAAAATTGTAGACCTGCACAAGGCTGGGATGGGCTACAGGACAATAGGCAAGCAGCTTGGTGAGAAGGCAACAACTGTTGGCGCAATTATTAGAAAATGGAAGAAGTTCAAGATGACAGTCAATCACCCTCGGTCTTGAGGGGAGGATGGATGGGGCCATGTATCGCGAGATCTTGGCCAACAACCTCCTTCCCTCAGTAAGAGCATTGAAGATGGGTCGTGGCTGGGTCTTCCAGCATGACAATGACCCGAAACACACAGCCAGGGCAACTAAGGAGTGGCTCCGTAAGAAGCATCTCAAGGTCCTGGAGTGGCCTAGCCAGTCTCCAGACCTGAACCCAATAGAAAATCTTTGGAGGGAGCTGAAAGTCCATATTGCCCAGCGACAGCCCTGAAACCTGAAGGATCTGTCTCTCTATTTATGAATCTTTGTGAACAGATTTTCCTAGCCGGAAGCATTAGCGCAGTGCCAGACTCTGATGATCCACATTGCTAATCACTGATCTAGGCATCTGAGGATCGGACACCTATGAGTGTCTCTCGTTTTCAACGTTGATCTTGTTAATAGGTGCTGTGTGTGAGAGAGTGTTGGATTGGATGCTCTGCATTTGACTATGGCCCTCTCACTTCCAGACCTTTTCATGAATAACACAATATGGTCCTGAGGTGGTCCTATAGCTTGGATCCAAACTGAGTGGAGGGAAAGGAGCTGACTGCATTCTAACTCTGCACTCATCATAAATAATCAAACATATTTACCCGTTCACTCCATCTTGCAGTGAGCCAGCAAGATGCAGAGAGAGAGCATGGGATCCTACAGATGTAGGATCTTAATTTGATCATTTTTGTTGCTGAGAATTCCCCTGCACCACATGAAATGCAGATGAGCCTCGTGATTTACAAAATTCACTAAAAACCCACACTAACTCACGTTTATATTAACAGTATTGCACTTGTCATGTAGCCTACTTTTGGCCAGCTAATAGCCTAACCACTGATCAAGCAACATCAAAAGTTCAAATCCTGTTGCTGCATGATTATTTTACTGTGAAAACCTGGGTCAAGTTAAAATCCTACATCTGTAATGAACAAGGAGCCTAAAGTTTAAGTCTCCAGCTAACATGGAATAGGTCAATTAATGAGCCAATGTAATGGCCTCCCAGAGAGGGTCAGGTGGTGGACTTCTCGGTTACTGCTGGGCTGGATATAACACTTATCCTCAGAAGGCTACTGGTGCAGCCCATCTGCTAATACGTGATTCCATTCACTTCAACGTCTTACTCTGTCGGAGACAGTGTTGCCAGAAAGCTGGGGAGGGATGGTGAGGTGGGGGAGGGATGGTGTGGTGGGGGTGGGATGGTGAAGTGGGGGAGGGATGGTGAGGTGGGGGAGGGATGGTGAGGTGGGGGAGGGATGGTGTGGTGGGGGTGGGGATGGTGAGGTGGGGTAGGATTCATGAGGTGGGGGAGAGATGGTGAGGTGGGGGAGGGATGGTGTGGTGGGGGTGGGATGGTGAGGTGGGGGGAGAGATGGTGAGGTGGGGGAGGGATGGTGGTGGTGGGGGTGGGATGGTGAGGTGGGGTAGGATTCATGAGGTGGGGGAGAGGTGAGGGGGGTAGTGAGGGTGATTGGGTGGGGGAGATGGTAGTGGGGGGGGATGGGTGGTGGGGTGGGATGGTGAGTGGGGTAGGATTCATGAGGTGGGGGAGAGATGGTGAGGTGGGGGAGGGATGGTGTGGTGGGGGTGGGATGGGATGGTGAGGTGGGGTAGGATTCATGAGGTGGGGGAGAGATGGTGAGGTGGGGGAGAGATGGTGTGGTGGGGGGGGATGGGTGGTGATGGGGTGGTTTGAGGTGGGGGGATGGTGAGTGGGGGAGGGATGGTGTGGTGGGGTGGGAGGATGGTGAGGGGGTGGATTCATGAGGTGGGGGAGAGATGGTGAGGTGGGGGAGGGATGGTTGGTTCAGGGCTCTATTCACACTCAGAGCTCTCTCTGTGAACAAAAATATTAACGCAACATGCAACAACTTCAAAGATTTTACTGAGTTACAGTTCATATAAGGAAATCAGTCAATTGAAATAAATGAATTAGGCCCTAATCTATGGACAATGGGCCTCAGGATCACGTCATGGTATTTCTGTGCATTCAAATTGCCATCAATAAAATGAAAATGCCCATGTACTCTTATAATCTCCACCCGGCACAGCCAGAAGAGGACTGGCCACCCCTCAGAGCCTGGTTCCTCTCTAGGTTTCTTCCTAGGTTTCTGCCTTTCTAGGGAGTTTTTCCTAGCCACCGTGCTTCTACATCTGCATTGCTTGCTGTTTGGGGTTTTAGGCTGGGTTTCTGTATAGCGCTTTGTGACATCTGCTGATGTAAAAAGGGCTTTATAAATACATTTGATTGATTGATTGATAACCCCAACGCTACCATGGGGCACTCTGTTCACAACGTTGACATCAGCAAACCTCTCGCCCACACAAAGCCATACACGTGGTCTGCGATTGTGAGGCCGGTTGGACATACTGCCAAATTCTCTTTACATGTTGTGTTTATATTTGTGTTCAGTGTATATATCCTTCTCTGTCTCCCCCTCTCCCCCTCCCTGCCTTTCTCTCCCCCATCTCATGTTTTGCCAGTTAGGGCTTGCACACTTCGCGCCGAATGTGGATCTAGTGTTCGTCTGCCGATTGTTCAGGGCGCTGTGCCGCTGTAGACGTCTGACTGACGACATTTCACATGATTTTACATGTAAAATTGGTGCATACTCGGTTCGCAAATTAAGGCCGGCACTCTGTTCAGAGGTGCTAAGTACTCTCGGCCAGAAAACATTATTGGTGGATTGGGGGCCGAGAGGGGCTGCTGAAGGATCAAAGAGCACTGCAAATCCCAGCTCTCCCTGTTCACCGTATAATACATATCCTTGCCTCTGCTTTGAGGTTAGATAGCAAGAGATTATGACATTACCGCATATTGCATACTATTGCACGTTTCTAGGTCGTTTCTGGCCTTCTCTTGTTGAAAGTTAAGAGTCTGTCCTTATTGTCTTTCTTTCTCCTAACCCCCCTTACAATTATCTCTCTCTGTCTCTGTCTCTCTCTCTCTTCTCCTCCTCCCAGCTGACAGCTGTTGGCAGGGTAGAGGGCTGGGGAGAATCAGGGAGGAGTCAGAGTCTGGACCTATCAGTCCTCTCACTCCTCGTCTCCACTCTCCCTCTAACTGTTGCTGCTTCTCCTCAACACAGACAGACAGCTCCTTAATCACAACTAATTACAGTCCCAGTTGTCCGCTCTCTCACTCCACGGCTGCTTAATGTCTTGATTGAGGCTGGTTGGTTGGTTGTGATTGAGGCTGGCTGGTTGGTTGTGATTGAGGCTGGCTGGTTGGTTGTGATTGAGGCTGTGTGTGCATGCACGCATGTGGGTTTTCTTTCAGTGCAAATGTGAACCATGCCAAATGCATATTAGAGGGTGTAAATTGGGGCAGTGACAGATAGATGAAAATTGGGCACTCTCCTCTCCCTCCTTTCTCGCTCTCTCACACCTTTCCATCTCCCCTCTCCCCTCTATCCTCCTGTGGTGCTGCTGGTCAGATGGTCAGTCTGTTAAGAGTAATGTGAGGAGGCATTCTGTGTGACATGGATGCTGTGCCGTCTGCTGCATATGGCCAGGCTCATTAGCTCATTAGCTCCTTAAATGCACAAATGCAAACACGCATGTGCACGCACACGCACAGCCAATACAGCACCGTATATTGACTGCACAAACAGAGCAGTCAATGTGATTACAGCCAAAGAGATTCATTTTAGACCGTTGAGTTGTAATGCTAGCAGGGAGCTGTCCAATCAAGAGGTGCTGAAACCCCCACTGGAGACCTGCTGCATTCACTCAACTGGCTTACATGAGCTGTTCCCCCTCTCTGTGGTTTGGATTAGAGTGCAGACAATAGCATTTACATGCATATTTTTCTCTCTCCCACATTGTTTCATTTGTCATTGCGGCCGATAAGGATTTTACAAGGAGGCAGACAGGGAAGGAGAGGGGGAGAGATAAAAGTGAAGGAATGAGATAAGAAAGAGGGTGGGGCAGAATGAGAGAGGGAAAGAGCTGAGCACTCTGTCTCTATGGCTCAGGCTCAGAATTACATCAAGTGTAGCTGTTGCTTCTCTACTGTGCACAGATAGAGCAGGGAGAGAGAGAGGCAAAGAGCATCATGTCAGGAACAAGCACTATGAGTGTATACAATGAGTGTCTGAACAGAGTAAGAATTCTATGAGGTGCGTGTTGTTTTCTTTCCTAGAGAGAGGAGAGGAGGAAGGTGAGAATGAATAGAAGGATAGAGGGATAGAGGGAGGGCTTGCTGAATGGAAGTACCATCGGGAGGTTACAGGGTTAGAATCCCAATGCTTCCTATCTGACACATAAAGAGAGGAAACAAAGTGTTCAACAAGCAAGACTAGTCCGTCCTCCCCTTAACTGAGCAGCAACGATGGTTCTTAATTAAACCAATAGATATTTTGTATTTGTTCTGCAATTCATTACTATGAACTTTTAGTATTTTCTGACCTGACCAGGAAAAAGTCCTATCCTATTCACAGCAGAGAAATCTGCTCTGTTTTCCATTCCTCCAGCAGAGGGGTTTATGTACGGTCCCTGGAGGACAGTGTGCCATAAAATTGATTGAGGATCAAATTAATAACCCAATCATTCTGCAGCAAGTCACCCACACCTCTATCAGCCCCAGGCCCAGGGAAGATCACAACAGTTATAGTTTTATTAGCTATTCATAATAGCCAGGGGGGAAAACATAAACAGTCGACCGAAGCACAAGGTTATGCATGCCTTATTCCTACCAAATGTGCAAGGGTACACTGTTATGACTCCTTATGAAGAATATTTCAGAGAATTTCGTTTTCAAAAAATGCAGAGCATTATAATATATGCCCTTTAGCAGATGATTTTATCCAAAGCGACTTACAGTCATGCGTGCATATACCTTTTTTTCATATTGGTGGCCCCAGTGGGAATCTAACCCACAATCCTGACGTTGCAGGTGCTGTGCTCTACCAACTGAGCCACGCAAGATCATGCTCTTGTATTTGCTGGACTGATATCTTAAATTCCTTCATTTATATTAAAAAAAGGTCATATGATTTATAGTATACCTATGAAACCTGCTATGCCAGACAGAAAAAAGCTAAACTCTTATGTTATTACTGTCTCCCAAGGCAGCATAGTGTAGATTATTGTAAAATGCAAAGGAAAATGACCCATTCAACCCATTGTCAGACACAGCAATAGAAAATCCCTTTGTCTTTTCATCACAACATAAATCTGCATGAATCATTACGATAATCCTCATAGGCGTAGATGTTGTTTTTCTGATTTAAATCCCTCTATGAAAGCCCACTGACTGACCCCCACTGGTTTAAATCCCTCTATGAAAGCCCACTGACTGACCCCCACTGGTTTAAATCCCTCTATGAAAGCCCACTGACTGACCCCCACTGGTTTAAATCCCTCTATGAAAGCCCACTGACTGACCCCCACTGGTTTAAATCCCTCTATGAAAGCCCACTGACTGACCCCCACTGGTTTAAATCCCTCTATGAAAGCTCACTGACTGACCCCCACTGGTTTAAATCCCTCTATGAAAGCTCACTGACTGACCCCCACTGGTTTAAATCCCTCTATGAAAACTCACTGACTGACCCCCACTGGTTTAAATCTCTCTATGAAAACTCACTGACTGACCCCCACTGGTTTAAATCCCTCTATGAAAGCTCACTGACTGACTCCCACTGGTTTAAATCCCTCTATGAAAACTCACTGACTGACCCCCACTGGTTTAAATCTCTCTATGAAAACTCACTGACTGACCCCCACTGGTTTAAATCCCTCTATGAAAGCCCACTGACGGACCCCCACTGGTTTAAATCTCTCTATGAAAACTCACTGACGGACCCCCACTGGTTTAAATCTCTCTATGAAAACTCACTGACTGACCCCCACTGGTTTAAATCTCTCTATGAAAACTCACTGACTGACCCCCACTGGTTTAAATCCCTCTATGAAAGCCCACTGACTGACCCCCACTGGTTTAAATCCCTCTATGAAAGCCCACTGACTGACCCCCACTGGTTTAAATCCCTCTATGAAAGCCCACTGACGGACCCCCACTGGTTTAAACTCTCTATGAAAACTCACTGACTGACCCCCACTGGTTTAAATCCCTCTATGAAAGCCCACTGACTGACCCCCACTGGTTTAAATCCCTCTATGAAAGCCCACTGACGGACCCCCACTGGTTTAAACTCTCTATGAAAACTCACTGACTGACCCCCACTGGTTTAAATCCCTCTATGAAAGCCCACTGACTGACCCCCACTGGTTTAAATCCCTCTATGAAAGCCCACTGACTGACCCCCACTGGTTTAAATCCCTCTATGAAAGCCCACTGACTGACCCCCACTGGTTTAAATCCCTCTATGAAAGCCCACTGACTGACCCCCACTGGTTTAAATCCCTCTATGAAAGCCCACTGACTGACCCCCACTGGTTTAAATCCCTCTATGAAAGCCCACTGACGGACCCCCACTGGTTTAAATCTCTCTAAGAAAGCTCACTGACTGACCCCCACTGGTTTAAATCCCTCTATGAAAGCCCACATGACATCATCATGGTGACTGGCGGCCTGTTGTCAATCCTGTGATCCTTACAGGAAGTGACATGTTATGTGCATGTGGGTGACTACAGCCAAAGATTGTTAATTACATTGACAAGATAGTCAACTGACCACTCTAACAATGGAAAAACATGTCCTCAAAGATGGAAGGCAGGCGGGAGGAGGCGAGATCAGGTGGGGCCATTCTAGCCAATGAGAGGACTCATTTTTGTATCTGTGCTATTATAGTATCTGTCACAGCATGGGCTCCATTTTAAAGTAGACCATTTTCTTCTTCTTCATTGGCTGATTGCTCCCAACTCATAGGGATCCCCACCCAGTTGACTACTTTAAAATGGTGGAAGACCTCAATGGCAATGTCCATGCTAAAACGGGTTTTATCCATGATGAGTCCTCTATCTATCGCTATGACAACAGGCTCCGATATAAAGTTGCCAAAATGCCATGTGTGTCCACTTATATCAGTGCATTCATAACAACCTAAGCATTACGAAACTTCTATTAGATCAAATAAGCCACACGCAGCAAATCAGCAATTCCATTTTTTGTTGACACTCTCATTGACATCCATACAGAAATTCCTCACTTCATGGGCTTATTTTCGCGGACAGATTTTGGGCGGAGTAAAACCTCTTGCGTCGCCTCTTCCTCTTTGCTACAGGTAGCTGAGAGAGTCACACACTCCTGACACTGTGACAGAGGCCGACATGAGTCACACAGCCAGCTATCTCTCCTTTCCTCTCCCTCTCTCTCTCTCTCATTTCCCTCTTCCTTTCTTTTCCTCTCTTTAATTCCCTCATTCTCTCTCTCTCTATCTGTCACTCTTTCATCACATCTCATTAGTAAACCCAGCCCTGCCATATGCCTCAATCCCTACTAAAGAGTCACGGACACTCACGCTCAACCCCTCTCTCAGATATGACTAGCATTTTATCATACTCATAAAGAGCTGTAGTATTACAGTAGCCCCACACATTGGAAACCGTTTCCCATGAACCTCTAGGGCGGAGGAACAGAAGAGGTGATTGGGAACAGGTGTTCCAATTAATTACTGGCGGCTGCCAGCAGACCCGCCGAGTATCGAGCGTCTGCCGACGAGGAGCCACAGTGACAAGCAAAGCAGCCTCACAGGGAAAAACAACATTTGTTGACGCACTGTGTAATCATGTGAGTAGAGAAAATAAAATCTACCTAATAATGTTTTGATGCGCTTCCATGAGAGGGAATGAGAGGGATAAGCTGAATAGTAATATAGTATCATAAAGTAACAAGGCTTTTTGGATAGGACCCAGGCAGCTACAGACTGGGGACTGCTACTGACTGTGCGGAATGAGCAGCGATAGAAAAGCGACTTCCTCCACTCTGCTGGAGAGCTGCAAGCTGCCAAGAGAATTCCCCCACAGGGTTAGTTCTACATTGCACCAATCAACCCAGGTGTCTCATCAATGCTTGATGTCTAACAAAAATCCATTCCCTGAGTTTTTTATTTTACAGAAAGAGATGGGCCCTAGTATAGCCTACTCATCTCTGCATTAGATTAGAAGAACTTCATCACTATTCAGCGTGGATCCCTCTTTTCTTTCCCAAGTTCCTCAGATGTGGTGACAGGGTTCTGGAAGTGGCAGATGATGCAGGCAGTTCCTGTGACTGTTCTACAGATGTCCTCATTTATTTTTACCCACCCGGCGCCATTTGAAGTTGGCTGATGGGATTGTTTTAATATTCCTCTGATCTGGGCTGACGGAAGGGTACATGTGATGTGATCCTCTCTCTACTGCTCGGAGATCAATTTGGAAGTACCAAGCTGACTAATGATGGACTGTCACGGTTTCGGCCGAGGCTGCTCCTCCTCCTGGTTCGGGCAGGCATCGGCGGTCGTCGTCCCCGGAGTACTAGCTGCCACCGATCTATGTTTCATGTTCGTTTGGTTTGGTCTTGATGTTGTACACCTGTGTCTAGTTAGTCCTCATTAGTGTTCTATTTAAGTCTCGTTGGGTGTGTCTGTGTTTGTGTGTGATTGTTCCTGTCGTATGTTTGCTTGTCGATTTCCTTATTCGCTCGGTTGAGCTTTACTCCACTGTGTTGGAGCGTTTTACGCACCTGTGTAGTGCGCCTTTTGTTTGTCGCCTACGTGCGTAGTTTCGCCTTCGGGCAAGTTTGTTCGGTTTTCCTTGTTGGATATTCCACTAAAGTCTTTTGGACTATACTTCGGTGTCCTGCGCTTGATTCCACCACTACACCCACCTACAGCATTTATGACATGGACTGAGAGAGGAGGGGATAGAGTGAGTGATCTTGCAGGGTCACTTTATGCAACTGTCTCTGTTGTGCTGTAATCGTGAAAATAACATTCAGCTGAAGTGGGAAGAGAAGGTTGAAAGGGACAATAGTGATAATCTGGAAGCAGAGTGTCACAGAGAGACAGTGGAATACTGAAATAATTGTGGAATTTAAAAGTTGTTTATGAAGCTGAACAATTTCTACAGAGTGAGAGATGTGAGTGGTTGATTCTAGTTTCAGAACTAAATGATGGACTGTCAGTACTTTCTTTGTCTGTGTAGAGGGGCCAGACACATTGTGTCTCTCTCTACCCACTCTGATCTTATGTCAGCAAGAGTGATCAGCAGGAGCTTGGTGAGCAGTGATGCATGGCAGAGCTGTATCAGAGGGAAGGCTTTGATGCCGACTAGTGCCCATGGTGCGAGGGCAGCAGGGAACATCTTAAAGGGCAGTCCGGTCCATATCCAGCTGGTTGCCATGGAGACACACCTTTTAACTGTCCAGCGGTGCCTTCCCAGCAGGAACCTCTTTGACCACTACACCGGTCTCTGCTTACCGTGTCCGAGAGTTCCTGCCCATCTCACAGCAACAAGAGAGGGAGAGGCAGGAAGCCAGCTAGTAGTGTGCCGTTTCCATGGCAACCCCGAGGAGCGAGCAAGCCAAGCTCGGAAAGAATATTGACTGCAGAGCTGGCAGCAAACAACGGTGAAACAGTGCACCTCTCTCTCAGCCACGCATCCTCCGAGCCGTAACCCTCATTAACAGGTCCGTGTAAACAAACTGGGTTACAGCTAGATCAACACTGCAACACAGAAATAACTTATCTACAATGCTCAACCACAAGCTTCAACATAGACTATCTCATTAAAGAGACGTATGGTGTTTGAACCCAGGGGCGATAGTATAATAAGTCATAAGTGCAGCTATGCACACAGAACGTGTCGTCATCCAGATTCCCTGGAGTATCAACCACACCTTCCCTGAGACCAATGTACTGCGCTAAGTTTATCAGACAACAACCTCTGCTGTTGTGCTGCTCGGCGAGTGCCGAAGCCATTTGATGTCCTCACAACACAGACCTCATTTGTCTTAGTTTTTTTCCCACAGTCTTGGCAAGGCTCGCTTTGAAAGAAACACTCCGTCAACATCATTAGCTGTTTCTTTCACAGCGTGAACATTGTTCCTCAAAACCTGCTCAGCTCAGTACTACCATTCCTTTAGATATTGCACACCAATTAATTTCAATTTCTTGGCTTAAAGAGATCCAGATCCCATTAAATATACACACTGACCCCATATCACATACCATTGGTGCTAATTTCCCACTGGGCACAGCGGTCAGTTCAACGTCTAGTTTTGATTTACATTTGGTTGAGTTGTCATGTAACATGAAATCAACACATTTCACCATGTCATTGGCTTTAGGTTAAAAAACTACAAAATGCCCTTACGTTTTTTGCAAATCCAATCCATTTTCCACATTGATTCAAAATTTTTACATTTGAGTCATTTAGCAGACGCTCTTATCCAGAGCTACTTCCAGGAGCAATTAGGGTTAAGTGCCTTGCTTAAGGGCACATCAACAGATTTTTCACCTAGTCGGCTCGGGGATTAGAACCAGCGACCTTTCGGTTATTGGCACAACGCTCTTACCCACTAAGCTACCTGCCGCCCCAACGTCATCACATTTATTTTGATTTTTTTATGAAATGGAAACAACGTTGATTCAACCAGTTTTTGCCCAGTGGGTAGTTTCCCATTCACATGGCTGCACTTGCCTTCCTTCACTGTAATTACTGTTCAGGGGGCAATTCCCCAAGGGGTGTGAGTGCTTACTTAACAATGACAGGGTGCTCCAGGAAAACATCCCTGCTGGTCGTTTATTAGACCCCTATGACAGGTCCTGGTCTCTGTGGCTGGCTAACAATAGGCTGTCATGTTTCCCTTCAACTCTGAGGTCACAGGCTGCTTCTCCCAGACTGGGAGAGACTTGGTGCTAGCTAGGGTAATACATGCTGGAGGCACGGCAATATGCCAGCCAAGCCCAGGAAAACCCAATCCATGATGATGTATTGAGTGATGAGCAGATTAAGATGAAGGGTGTCGAAGAGCTGGGAGATGATGATGCGGCCATGTGAGGATAACATGGAGAATGAGATTGCCCTCAGGGCTTGGGTTTTGGTTTGCGGGTGGAAGAGGTGATCAAAACAATGACTGATTGATTAGCCATGGATCAGGTGGAGCAGGGGAGGAAGAGAGAGACATGATGAGTAGGATGAGACGCTCCAACACAGCGGATGACTGCCCAGGTCCAGCACATCAAAGGATTTGCCCTATGTCCTCCTTTGATTGGTGTGGAAATAAAAAAAGTCAAAGGTCTCTGAAGACTTTGGCCAGTACAAGACGAGTCACCACTGCCCACACAGTCAGATATCAAGCACAGAGTCTCTTAAAGATGAGCAGTTTACAGGTGGTGTTGTTGTTTTCTAGACCTGAGTAACTGGGCGAAGTAGTCTTACCTTCGCTGAAGCCCATTCATTCACCATAAATCACCCAACAAGAGAACCCAACAATGACAGCCAGGTGTCATAACCAGCCGGTTGGAGAGACTGATAGATGACAGAAACAGTCTCTTAACAAAGCAAACTCAGACACACCAACATCACACACACACACACACACACTGCTGCTGCTGTCTCGCTGCTTTTTTAATGGTTCACCTTGTCCCTCCTTCTTCCCCTCCCTCCCTCCTTCTTCCCTTCCTCCCTCTCCCAGAAGAGGGGGATAAATCAAACGCCTGTCTCCTTTGCTTGGCTCTGGTGATAAACACAGTTTGGAAATCTATAACGCCAACTCCTCATCTGAACGCTGGCTGGGACATAGAGACTGGAGGATACGTGGGGGTAAATACATCTACAGCCTATCTCTACTTAGACTACAACAACAATGTCTGGACTGATGGATCAAACAGCGGTTTGAATCTAACAGCTGGTCCCATGGAATAAAAGGTTGAGAGCAGAAGGTTTGGTGGTGAGAATAGTTCACCATGCTGTATGCTAGATGTGCTTGTCATAGTTGATCAACATGGCCAATACAATTCAATGAGCTTCATATTCTCATTTTGGGGTGTTGATTCATAGCCCTCATTTTAGGGTGTTGAAGCCACCTCAAGAATATCCAGCATAAGAAACAGATCTTGTTCACACGTGTTTTCATGTGGGTGTCTTATGGTTAGTTTGTTGGCACATGTAGGCGAAAGTCAGTGTTGTTAATAATAATAATCTAATTTTCATTCATAACACCCTCACATAGTCTTTATCTGTAGTTAATTGTTACCCTTTTGCCTCTAGTCATAATTAAACAACTCTCAACTGTCATTATTTCTTTTAATTATGAAGTCAGGAAGGGATATGCTTGTTCAGGACAGGGAGAGAGAAGAGAGAGAGGTCTCTATAGACCTTTTCACTTGTGGTTGAGCAGTGAGATGCAGCTTGCTGGAATGGGCTGCAGCATTGTGTTTGAGTTCATGTGATTCAAAAGAGCAACAGTATATTGTATACATTGTTGACGCAATGTTTTGAATGTCAATAAAGCAATTTGAATTTGAAAACAGAGTTTATTTTCTACCTGCTATCTGCTGCTTACAGCACATATGAATGTATTTGCACGGCTCATGATTGCATTTCATCTAAAACTGCTCCCACAGGGCAACTTGAAATACCAAACGCCTTCAAAGCCTTCATTCAAGTTTGACACAACTATAATTTATTCACAAACCAGAGTTAGGCAGTGTTATTGATATGGCTCACGCATTTCTAAAAGACCGGAAGGGATTCAGGGATTCAGGGATTCAAGATGCTTCAACACATGCTTTTGTCTACAAAGTCATGTACTTTGCATTTTGGCTCACTGCATTTATTAAATGGATAAACAATGCTGACAGTGAGATCTCAATTGTGAATGTGAATGCTCTCTCTGCTAAGGTTCACAGACCTGGGGGAAATTCAGCCCAGAGAAAGTCACTTAACTGTGGCTCTATAGAGAAAGCCTTGTTGTGACCCTTAGATAGATGCACCAAAGTTAAAGTAATGTCTTACACATACAAGTATACATTAAGTACACAATTATGAAACTAAATGCCCTGATGTCTTATCTTTAGCGGTTGGTGTTTGCAGCAGAGGTTTCCATGGTTATTTGAGGTTCAGAGGTTATCTTGTTTGAGGTTGTCTGCTGTCTGACCGCATTAGGGAATCTCTTGCCTCTAGAGCAGGCTTTCTTAAACTATGGGGTCGGGACCCAACGTGGACCCTGGGCATGTGAGAGGTGGGTCGCAGTTATGAGAATACATTGTTGGATGACGATTTGGGTCACGGGAGGACGGTCAATTTCTCATTTCGGTCTCGAGCTGAAAAGGTTTAAGAACCCAAGATGTAGAGGATGAAGTTGTTGATATGTAGATCTCTAAGCGCTGGGGATGATGAGCTTGACAGGACCAGAGCTGCAATCAGGACCTCAGGGTCTACTCCTTCTTTGTATCAGCACTAATTACCTCTATGGAACCAGGGTAATCAATTCTTATTGAACTGTGGAAAGACTTCTGTCTGTCACTTGGCATGTCTACTGCTGCCACCTTAAAACCTATACCACCACCACCCACTAGCACCAGCCACTATCTCCACATTCACTGTTTCCACTAGGATTTCTTTCAGCAGCGGTGGCAGAGGTAGCAGGGGGAGGGTCTTCCTGGGGCATACATCTATACATCTATTAATAGGGTTGGATACACTTCCAGGATTACAAGCTAGCTAGCTAGTTACCTTGGAGGTTTCTCTGACGATCTGATGTTGTAACGTGTCACTCTGTGTCACGACTTCCTCCGAAGCTGCCTCCCCTCCTGGTTCGGGCAGGCTTCGCCGTTCGTCGTCACCGGCCTTCTAGCCACTGCTGCTCCTCATCTCATCATTCCATTTGTTTTGTCTTGTTTATTACACACACCTAGTTCATATCCCCTCATCAGTACCTGTGTAAGTGTTCCCTCTGTCCCCCTTGTCTTTGTGTGTGATTGTTTATTGTGGAGAGTAGTGAAGCTCGGTGGAGCTCCTTGTATTTTCCCTCGCCGGGATATTTTCCTGTGTGCCTTGTATTTTCCCTCGCCGGGATATTTTCCTGTGTGCCTTGTATTTTCCAGTGCGCCTGTTTTGCACCCTGGAGTGTTTGACACGTTCCTGCGTAACTCTGTGGTTGTGTAATAAAGCCTGTTATTCTGTGATTTACCCTCCTGCGCCTGACTCCTTCAACATCACCTCGTCACACTCTGATCTTAAAAGCGTGTCTTGGCAGACATTTGGTGCACCACTACTAAATTAATGTAGGACAAACACTAACATTTGATGTTCTTGTCAATGCTCTATTATAGCTTTATTTGAACACATATGTCAACACTTGACCATAGCAAAAAGGTTTTGCCTAGCTGCAGTAAGACAAACTTAAAAATTACAAGTCAATTGGGTCAACTTATTTTTACACGCTACTACAGTAGATGATCGCTACTTCTACAAGTGACCTCCTAAAATTAAGTTTTACATTTGGCATAAACCCACCTGCTTTAAATAAGTCAGCTTCTCTCACTATGATCAGGGTTCGCTGAGTTGTATCAGAGAGAGAGAATGGAGAGAGAAAGTGAGAAAAGCTTATGCTCCTTGAGATTAGTGGTTATCCCACTGGCTATAGGGTGAATGCACCAATTTGTAAGTCGCTCTGGATAAGAGCGTCTGCTAAATGACGTAAATGTAAATGTAAATGTAAAAATTCACTTTCCCCTGCTGGGGGATTTGTCATTGATCCCTTGTGCAGTGGTGGGTGGCCTAGCTATTTAGTGAAGCTTCCTTGGGGATGGATGATACAGATGTAGGATCTTAATTTGATCACCCTGTTGCAGGAGAACTTAACTGCAATGCAGGAAATGTAAAACTTGTAGTGTATTTGAGGTTTAAAAAAGGCTTCTGAAGTCTGTAATTTCCACTTTAGATTTTTACTTACGAAAAATGTATCAACCTCTACAAAAATGTCCTTTAATTATAATCCACATAATAATTCACATTTCCTGTTGCTGCAGGATTATTTTCCTGCTGTAGCATTCTGGCTCAAATTAAGATCCTACATCTGTACTGTAGCAGACTGAGCAAGATCTGTATTGCAGAGTAGAGCATTCATAGATTGCTCATTCTACCCAAGATTACCCAGGTAGTGCTGACAAATACTGTGCATGCAGAACTCCCAAAGGAGAACAGTCAAATGTGTAGGAATACACAGCCACACACACACCATAGACATAGCGCTAGAGAGCCCTTGTCTCTCTACTCTTTTACCCCATACTGTTAGTGTCTGACTTAGAGTTGCCAATCTTCTTCCCTCACCCACCACCCCCTCCATGTCCCCTAGTGCTAGGTCCCTATGTGGTGCTTTATTATTAACATGATTAGTACTGTTACTGAGCTGTAGCTTGCATCCCCAACAGCAGACTGACATAACATGTGCTGCTGTAGTGAACAGCAGACTGACACATAAACCATGTGCCTCCTGCGAGACCTCTAGGAAAGGCTGTGTTGTCTCTCCTGTCAGCTGTACCGGCGGCTCAGTCAGTCGACCAGGCCTAATCCCATTATTTAGCCCCCCATTGAAAGAGCTACAGCAGGAAATAACGCTAACGCTAGCCGAGCGGTGCCACGGAACCAGGGCGAACACAGTGAGTTACCCCACCCACCTGTGGCACCGAGGCTGATACCCCGGGAGAAAAGGTTGTCCAGAAAGACACAGCTCTTTAGGAAGCGCGACATGCACTGGGGAAAGCCTACACCTGAAAAATCACAAAGTTCAATTAGTGGTTAAACTGTGCTGGTTTACAATGAAAATCCGCTGATGCGCAGGAACCCACTTTAATAGCTCATTTAAATGACTCTGCTTTACTGGAAGTTGGTTTAATGATGCAGTAAAGTCAGAGTGTCTGTGGTTACGAAAGCTTGAGTTTGACTTCAGAGCTGAACAGTGTATTGACAGATAGGCCTCCATCAAATATATCAACATTGCTCTGAATTTTCCTTGTCAGTATGGCTGATGCTTGCACTCCATACCAAGCATATTTGATTGGCAGGAAATTGATCATAAGATAGTTGAGTGTTAGAACGCATTTTGAATGAGGCTATATTGTACTCCCAGAGGACTAACTATTCTTTAGGGATTTGTATTGTCATGCTATGTTAGATGTGGCTCTCTGGAATCGGCTGTCTTTCAAACCTCTCTTCTGCTTTACATCTCTCTCTCTCTCTCTCTCTCTCTCTCTCTCTCCCTCTCTCTCTCTCTCTCTCTCTCTCCTCTCCTCTCTCTCTCTCTCTCTCTCTCTCTCTATCCCCATCACTCTCTCTCTCCCCATCTCTCTCTTTCTCTCTCTCTCTCTCCCTCTCTCTCATAACCAATCATAACGGTCAGTCACAGTTCAGTCCCAAAAGAGCATGCAACTCTTCAATCAGAGATGTCACTCTCACTTTATTTCTAACAGGCCTAGCAAGTCCTCCATCACAGCTGCCAATCAAACTCATGAAAAATTGACTAGCTATTTTATCAAAGTAATTGTGTGCACCAATACGATAAGATCACAACACCTTTAAAACAATTTCCCACATCTGAATAATAAGAGTGTACATAAACCACCAGACCTAGTAATGAAATGTTATTGAAGCTAATCCCAATAATGGCATCTACAGTCATTGCAGATGCACAACCATGGGAGATTCTCTCCTCTTAGCCCAAACCCATCTTATTGGTCGTTGGCAGGTACAGGATGTGTCAGAATGACATCCTAAACCTGGCAATGTATCTGCCACCTGTAATCCACAGGAAGAGACATAAAACACCTCCTGCTCTGAACCTTCACATCTCATGACGCACAACGTCTGCTTTCTAATTTATTCACCAGCTGACAGTTCTATTAAGAGGCATGCTATGCTGATCATTTGGGAGCAGGGTTTGAAAAAGCACACATTTCATGCCTGGCTGGTACTCCATCTAACTTCCTGATGACTGCATTGGAGGCTTAAAGGTCCATTGGCCCATTGTACATAACATTACACTCTAAAAGGATGGAGTGTGTGTAGCTGACAGCGGTGCCTGGACCGGTGCTTTGCTGAATGGGGAGGCAACAGAGAGAGGGATGAGTTAAAGAGGAGAGAGAGAGATGAGTAAAGAGGAGATGGATAGAGGGTTGGGCCCTTTGTCTCTCTATCTGGAGTATGCTGTAGGAGACTGATCTGTGGAGTATGCTGTAGGAGACTGGTCTGTGGAGTATGCTGTAGGAGATGTCTGTGAGTATGCGTAGGAGACTGATCTGTGAGTATGCTGTAGGAGACTGATCTGTGGAGTATGCTGTGGGAGACTGATCTGTGGAGTATGGTGTAGGAGACTGATCTGTGGAGTATGAAACTGATCTGTGGAGTATGCTGTAGGAAACTGATCTGTGGAGTATGCTGTAGGAGACTGATCTGTGGAGTATGCTGTAGGAGACTGATCTGTGGAGTATGCTGTAGGAGACTGATCTGTGGAGTATGCTGTGGGAGACTGATCTGTGGAGTATGGTGTAGGAGACTGATCTGTGGAGTATGCTGTAGGAAACTAATCTGTGGAGTATGCTGTAGGAGACTGATCTGTGGAGTATGCTGTAGGAGACTGATCTGTGGAGTATGATGTGGGAGACTGATCTGTGGAGTATGCTGTAGGAAACTGATCTGTGGAGTATGCTGTGGGAGACTGATCTGTGGAGTATGCTGTGGGAGACTCTCTGATCTGTGGAGTATGCTGTGGGAGACTCAATGGGCTTCCACAGAGCTGGAGTAGTGAGCCGGCTTTCATTTGCCCCATTCACAACTCCTCCTGATGTCCCACCACACTACTTCTACTGTCCTCTAAAGCTCTGACTAATGGTGCTAGATTGTGTGTGTGTGTAACTGGGACTCCCGTTTGGTCATGTTACATCATCTCCCTAATCCTCTCAGGCCCAGCCAGCCAGTCCATCATGTTACCACTGACAGGAAGGATAAGAGCTGGTTGATGTCATTAGCTATTGTCTTTAGTGGTACTATGACACCACTGGCTTAGTGCACAACCTTGTAAAGTTGTGAGTGGAGAGGGAGGTTAACTAAGCTCTCATTTATGGCAGGTCATATTCAGTTCAGAAAGACATTGGTGAAATATGTAGCCTGGTCCCAGATCTGGCTGGTCCCGAGCTTGAACTTCTAATGGCATGGCTTTCTTCCTGACCTCATCTCTTGATAGTACTTTTCAGCATCAATATTTTAACTCTTCCTCTCTCTGTTTTTTTTTCTCCAAATCCTTCTTTTTGACCATCACTTTCCATGTTCTTTAATCTGCTTTCATCTTTTCCTCCCTGCTGGTCTTCATCCCCTCCCTTAGTTGTCATCTCTTATCCACCTCCTCTCTTTCCCCAGCAAGGCACCATGTGATGTCTCTCACTTGCCTCTATTTTAAAGAAGTGTGAGAAATGGAGAGCCACACTGTGCAAAGATCCCCAACAGCCACAGTACTGTATGAGTGCTGAACAGACTGTGTGTATTTAAATGCCAAATCATGCACTCTTATGCATAGGCACGAGTTGGCCCAATCCCCAGATTGAGGGATTGTGGCAGACACCTAGGATAAATTAAAGACATGGTAAAGAGAGCACACACTCACACACCTGAATAAATAGACAAACAAACAGTGCTGCCTGTAAGCAGCTGAGGAGCCAAACGGTGACAGCGGCTGTCTCCCATTAGTGGAGCTTTGTGCTGTTCTGTTCTGCACAGAAACCTCTGAATCAATAAACCACTAGCAACAAAATGGGCCTTTTAATGTTCAATGCTAATGCCAGCTTCCGTCTCAGGGGGCACATTGGACCGGTACTGAGTGCAGCGATGTGCAGCCACTGTGCAGGCCACTTACCCATACGAGCAGCCTAGTGGTCCAAACAGAGCCAGGAAACAGGTCGTTGAAATGCCTCCACAACACACTCAAGAGCCCCCCTGATTCCTTTGTTTGCTTGCGGAAGGCATTTTCAATCTGAGCAAGGAGCCCCTGCCAAATACATGAATGATAATCACCTTCCTGTGTGTTCAGGCATTGCCTTGGTGAGGGTCGGAAATAGGGGATGGGCAGCGGAGTTCTGATTTTGATAAAGAAATGTGTGAGTAAGATATGACTAAAATGTCACACCCTCAGTTAAACTAATAATGTATGAATAATTAGTAGACTAGAGCTTAGAGAATTAATCAAATGTGTTTATATCCCAGCAACAGTATAGACTGGTTCCCAAAACACACAGGGAAAGGGGAGTGAAAGGCTTGCAGGATATTGTGAGGAGGCGATAACTAAGGAATGCAGCCTATGATAAGAACATGTGTGTCTGTGTGTGTGTGTGTGTGTGTGTGTGTGTGTGTGTGTGTGTGTGTGTGTGTGTGTGTGTGTGTGTGACCTGATGGTCAGGAGAGCAGTTTTCCAGTGGAAAACTACAGCACGCCTAAAGAGGGGTGGGATTTTTCATCTGATGTGTGTGTATAAAAATATTGTACGACCATATTGTTTCAGAGCGCTCTCATGAATAAATATGGTGACCATTGCAGGATTGAGTCTTTGTTTAATTTATTTAAACTAAGCGATTTACAACCTTTTGGGAATTATTCAGAGATTTAAGAAGTAGTTGACTTCAACCATTGAGATAACAAAATCCTCGTGACAGATTTCCATCCAGGACGGCGAGCCGAGCACCAATCTGCTACCTCACTAGAGCCAGGCAGGCAGGCATTGTCATGCTGCCAGAGCTGGCCCATCCATCACATCCTCCACTAGAGTGGAGAAGCGCCTGGCATTTGGTGGAAGTTGTCACAGGATGAGCGTGATTATCATAGACCGACCATGCAGTGTGGTTGTGATGGAGGGGGCTGCCTGTCAGTCTTAGTTTGGGAGTTAATTGGTCCGCAGTGAGGGGGTGGTCAAGGCGATGCAAGGGGGTGGGAGCGAGAGGGAGGGAGGTTGTAGGGAGGTAGGGAGGCAGGGCGGATGGTCCAGCTGCTATGGTTTTCAGGCAGCTGCTAGGCTGAGTGCAGAGTGGGCATGTCTACCTGAGAACTGCTGTGTGCAGTGGGCCAGTTAAGCACATTCTTCAAGAGTGGTAACAGTAGTAAGGAGACATAACTCTTTAGGTATTGCTGCAGCCTGCAGGGGCAAGAACATGTCAGTTGGTTTCATGTACATTTCCTTGAAAACACACCTGCACAGAAGCATACATTTTGAGAGCACTGTTCTGGAGTTGCTGTTCAAATGCCTGCAGGTGGATTGCTCTCATCAGACATTCAGCCTCTCCTCTGCTTTTAAGGAGATGTGCCTCTTTGCTATGTGCCGTTTTGGACAGAAACTCACAACAGCCAGTTACTCCTGGATAGAAGTCGGACTACACTGAGCCTAGAAGGATTTGACAATCACACCTGGGATCTGTGGCTGCAATGAGAAAAGGAAAGCACACTATATTTCCAATTACTACTCCCCAGGAACGTCTTAATAGCCAATTTCAGTGACCTCAACATGACATATCTGAGAGAATGAGAATGGAGAAAGGAAGCGATTGCGAGAGAGATTCAGTGAGTGAGTTGAATGAGGCAGAGATTGCCTGAATGCTGATGATGCATGTCATTGCCACGAGCAAAGTGCTGTGATGGATCAATAAAAGACAAGGAAGCAATGAGCAGCCAACAGGCCCCAAGCACTCAGACCTCTCACATTCATCGCCAATGTTAACTCCTCACCACAGAACACTCTAAAAACCATGCTCTGCAGCCTTACAGGAGTATGGTACATTGTGATGCCATATTTCTTGACAGAGACTTTGAGGGGAAAAAACATGGACTGTTGAGTTCATAAAACATATTTTTCACAGGTATATTTAGAGAATCTCAGTGGTGAAAAGGCCCCATAACTCGGCAGAGATCATTAAAAAAATATTCTTAATTTAAATGACTTAAATATTTACAATATGTTTAGTAAAGTGTGTTTTTTGGCATCATACAGGCCGCGTTAGTCAGTTTGTGGATCACCCCCTGTATAGTCTGAACATGATCAGATCTGTACAGTATTATGAAGACCATATCCAGAGCTTCAGAGTAGGACTGCTGATCTAGGATATGTCCATATAATCGTATTCATGATGATCTAAAATGCTAAACTGATCCTAGATCAGATAATTTGTGGATATGGGCCTACTCAAGCGGGCACCACTGAGGGATAAGCAGTGACTTTCTTTCATGTGGAAAAACAAGGTCACGATATAAACACCCTGGCTGTGCTCATTATGCAGGGCTTCTGTTTTAATTCAGCATGGGATGACAATGCTGTGGAATCCTCCGGATAATCTCAGTGCTGGTGTTTATGTTCAGCATTAATTTACAGGGAGGCGCCTGCCCCTAGACCAAGCCTATACAGACGGATGGTGTTGTGAGTCTCAGACCAACATCTGGCAAGCAGCATTAACGCATTTCATTATTATTTTTTATTTGTGGGGGAGTATCAGTGGTTTGTGTTACTTGTTACAGAGATGAGTTGAAGGATAATTGCCTTTGATTGATCACTGGTTGATTGTATGCACCCGCTTTAAAGCCACAATCTGGAGTCTGTGCATTTTGTGCAAGCTTAAATTCTGCAAAGTAACTTTCACTGTGATGCTTGTTTACAAGTTTTGACAAATTCTGACGTATGAGAGAGCATTACCTGCAGACTACACCACGCGAGTGAGTCCGCGTGCGCATTTTGATTTTGTCTTTCCCCACAAGATGCAAGCATGACAGGCAGGTTAAAACACCAAAATCAACTGTGCATCAATTATATTAATTTTGGGTGGGTCGAAACACATGAAACATTCATGGATATTTAGCTGGGAGATGAACATTGGGTTGTTATTTTACCTGACATGCATATGGGCCTCTTTTAAGATGGTTCTTTGTAGAATTTTACTCCAAGGATTAATCTACAGATAAAAAGGGAAACCTAGTTAGTGTTTAGTTATCTTTAATTAATCTCTTATCGTGTGTCTTTCAAGCATCCATGTGGGTTTGTATCTTCCTGATATCTAATAAGGAGGGGAATTGCAGCGCGTGGAGCTTCTCAAATAGAACCAAGTTTGCGTTTGACACATGCATGTGTACATTTATTTTTGCAAGGCTTGCACACGCAAAGTGGCCGGTGTGGTTTGCGTGTCTGGCTGTATTTTTTGTGGTTGTCTTTGCTCCCTTAATAGATGTTTTAAAGATAGTGTGGCAGTGTATGGTGAGTTAAAACAAACAAACAAACATGGCTGTCATGGCTGTCAGCTTTTGCTCATTTGATAGAAACATATTTGCTTAACCCCCCGAAATTCATCATACACTTCTTGTAAAACTGATGTCAAGTATAATGCTATCAAGCACACTTAAAGCTAGAATCCTTAATTTTAACAATAACAAAGGGGTTCCCCGCACCTGTTTTGCTACAAATCTAAGAGATGGGGCTGGAGAAATGTAACCACTCTCAAATTCATTGACAGAGCTATAGATGCAAGGGCTAACCACCCATGATATCAAATGTATAGTTTTAACCATGTTTTTAGGCTATACAGTGTTTGTTTATATTTAAGTTTTTTACCAACATTGGAGTAAAACAAGCTTGTATTTTGGGTTCTGATGGGGTACTACAGTTGAACTAAGCTCATGAGGCATGTTTCAGTTATATTCTTCAAGAATCAATGGGTAGCCTATAATTTACAAGTCCAAGAATGGATGTAGCAACTAAGGATTCTAGCTTTAACACATTGTTTATTTCCCCTACCTGACTGATTGAACAGCTGGAATACAGAGAATTCTCTGTGGTTGTAGAACTGCTGAAGTTCTGAACTCCTTCACCCTTCACGGGGGAACTTACCCGCAGCCAGCTGCATCCAGCCGCAGATCTTGTAGACCGTGCCTGTGCTGCAGAAGAAGAAGAGCGTGAAGCAGCCGATGCATCCGATGACCAGCGCCATGGACATCCCGATGAAGAAGGACGCAGCCTTGAAAGCACCGGAGGGGATGGTGCTGAACTCCATGAAGCTTCCCTGGCACGTCAGGTCCCGGGACAGCCCGTTTCCGATGCAGTAGTGAAAGAGGCCGAAGTAGCCGGCCTGCGGCGTGTCCATCCCGTCTCCGATCCAGTAGGGCTGGATGAAGCACACCACGTTGACTATCGCGAAGAGGATGGTGAAGATAGCCCACAGAACCCCGATAGCGCGGGAGTTCCTCACGTAGTTGGTCTGGTAGATTTTGGCAGCCTCGGAAGCGGGAAGCATCGTTGTAGGAGCACCAGGCACCATCATTTAGTCTCTAAAGGTTTTTATATTTAGGATCTGTTCAAACACAAAGCTTCAATCATGCACAAAGCACATTCCGGCCGCGTCAATGTGCCATGATCTCCCCGACTAAACAGCTCCCTCCTGGGCGAGTGTTTAACCTACTAAAGCCTCACAGTTTGCACTGTGCTTGGGTCCGCCACCGTTTTCCTTATCTTTATTGAATGGTAGGCTGGGTATCTGAGAGCTATTACGAATAATATTGAGGAGGAATCTTCTGAATGAGTAATCACGGAGATAACGGCATGTAATAATCACTGGGTGTTAATTCGAAACGGTCATGCATTTCGCAAATAATCTACAGCCATTGTAGGCTAAACAAACATCATACGGTCAGAACTCCATCCGACTGAGGGCGCACAGAGATGAAAAATGCTAAAGTCCAGATAGAGGGGCTGATATCCCCCTTCACAGACTTGGCCACAACCGTGGTTGCCAAGGATACAACCTCATCGTCGACGGAATACCGACTTTCCCGAGGTAGAGGAGGTGCATGTAACTGAGATGGTGAAATCGTGAGTGTTGACAATCTGCTCACAGAGCATCATGTGTTCTGCGTCCATTTGTTACCAAATAACACCTGTATTCCAGGCAGGCGCAGTCCGACTGTCACAACCGATAGGCCTATCAAAGCCCCTCTGATAAAGCACCATGCGCAATATAGCCTATCCCCTAATCCCACTCTCTCGTGCCCCAGTGCAATGATCGAATGGGAGACATCTGAAATAAAATCGTTAAATCTAAAAAGCAACACTCCTATTTGATTTAGTCTAGGCTGGCTCTGACTCGTGTGGCAGAATATTGAAGTCTCAGCTCTCTCTCTCCATGTCCCCTCTCTCTCCGTGTTGCTATGTGTCCACCGAAATAGGATGGCTTCTGTCGCACAACACGACGCGCTGGTATTTAGCGCACAGTGGCCAAGAGTGAACAACTGCACATCAACAACAAGGGCAGGCTATAAAACTCAGCCCTGCGACATGGTATTTTATCACAAAGTCATGATATAGACTAATTGGCTAAACTTAATCATGATTGAAATGGCTAGGTAATCACTATACATGCATCACCTGTTTGATATCCTACTCCAAGTCTCCAACCGTGCGCTATCTAGTGCGCAAAAGTATGAACAGTGCGCAGTGGTTAGGTTGACTTGACGCTCTTCTTGTTGATCACTTGATGATTCTGAAGTGACTTTGACTGAGCTGCCTGTGTCTTCTCTCAGTGCAGTCTATTCTTATTCAGGATTAGTCTAGGCCTACTCAAAGCTGCATGTGGCATATTTCTCCCCTTGGCACGGCAGAGGTAGCCTATAGGCCTAACAACAAAAACAAACAACATGTAGCCTATAGGCCTAACAACAACAAACAACATGTAGCCTATAGGCCTAACAACAACAAACAACATGTAGCCTATAGGCCTAACAACAAAAACAAACAACATGTAGCCTATAGGCCTAACAACAAAAACAAACAACATGTAGCCTATAGGCCTAACAACAACAAACAACATGTAGCCTATAGGCCTAACAACAAAAACAAACAACATGTAGCCTATAGGCCTAACAACAAAAACAAACAACATGTAGCCTATAGGCCTAACAACAAAAACAAACAACATGTAGCCTATAGGCCTAACAACAAAAACAAACAACATGTAGCCTATAGGCCTAACAACAAAAACAAACAACATGTAGCCTATAGGCCTAACAACAAAAACAAACAACATGTAGCCTATAGGCCTAACAACAAAAACAAACAACATGTAGCCTATGCACAGGCATGAAAGCATTTTATGTTAATTGTTTGGGAGAAGGCTAGTGGTTACAATTATTTTGAAACTGAGAAAATAACTTTATATTTATAGTAGCATACCTATTAGTTTATGTAAGACAAATTAAATCATTCTCAATATGAAAAAACTAAACAAAGAAAGAAGACAAGGGGCCCATCCACACAGACTCTGAGCAAAGTGTGTGTGTTCAGGTTTCTTAGATGGGTGACCATCATGAAAACCCATTAGCTGACTATGAAACCTTGCGCTAGAATGTTTAATTATAATTGACAGAATGACAGACAATCTAACTTTTGGTGTTAAAAGGAATAGTTCATGTTAATTAAAACATCTATAATAACCATGTCAACATGTAAACAGCTTTTATATTTCTCGAAAGTCAGATGTATAGTACTGTCCCAATTCCAATGAATGGTGTTTGAATAGTGGTACAGGGACCCGTTTCAGCTACAAAAATTCACAAAATAAACCTTTAATCAATTTAAATGTAATTTCCTTCATTCAAAATTCTAAAATACATTAGAATATGTTGTTTTAGTTCATTTCATCTCAAAATCAATTCTAGAGGCTATATATCACATAAACAGCATTGGATGATGGTGGAAGGAATGAGAGGGAAATAAGAAGGGAAGGGGAAGAAAGGAAGGACCATAACATGTAAGAAATTGAGGATAGAAAAATGGATGATTGAAAAGGGACAGCACTTGGGGAATAATAGAGGGGTTCCAGGATCAATTAAAATATGTGCAGACTCGTTTAGTTAGATTTTTACCAAGTGGAATCTCCCCAAATCAATTTTCCAAGGGCATGGAGTGAGTCTAGTATAAGGTTATTGTCACACAATTGTGAAAACAGAGCGCGTGTTATACAGTATATAGGCCTAAGCCTCTACAAAGTCGTACTGATGATTTCACAACAAGTGCCAAGTGAAGTGGGACACTAATGCATTTCTAATGAGAAAATGTTGTCCCACTTCTGCTACTAACTAGCCTATAGTGTCCCACTGTAAACGCTATATCAAAAGTAGGGGTCAGATGTTGTTTTAGGGGTTGTAGCATCCACTGAATAATAACTTGTTTCATCATAAAAATGTAGATAAGACCTTAGTTAATTGAAATAAATAACTTGAGTAGGGGTAGACTGATTTTGATTGTCTACATGGCGATCTACCAAAAAGTGTTTCATAAGGAGAAATATCAGGTAAAAAAATTCCTGTCAATAAAAAACTTACCATATTCTATATATCCTTAATTCAGTGTTCTCACATTCTGTTTCCAAGCCTGCAGGTACCATGGTACAATGAACTATCCATCTCAAACAAAAACCAACTACACAAAATAGTAAAGCTGGCAAGTAAAATCATTGGTCGTTTTTGGTTAACATGGAAGCATTGTCCTTGGAGAGAGTGGCGCGGGCGAGAATAATGATTGCCACTGACCTCACTTAGCCAGGAGTAGCCTACCAGCTTTTCTCGTAAGTCCACCGATACAGATCTATAGGGTTGCAAAGCTACCGGTAATTTACCAATGTTACCGAAATGTTCAGTTATTTGGGTAATTAACAGTAACTCTATGGCAATCTATGTTAACTTTTGTAATTTAGGCCTATACTTGAATATATAGTATTCCTTTTTTTTATATATTTGTCCATATTGTGGGGTCTCTAGTGGATAGACCATATGTTTAACATAGACCATATGCTAAAACATTTACAACAAAGACATACTCACATAGTCAAATAAATGTGTAAAAAAATATAAAGGATATTTCATGCTAAAACCCTCATATTAAACACTAATGGTATTCAGTAAGTTGATGGTTTATATTAAGGATAATGTTTTACAGCTTTGTCATTCTATTTTGTTATGTTAAAATCATCTTATTTGATTATTTTATATATTTTACATGTGATAAGGCCACACAGAGGGCCAGAGATAATTAGACACCTGTGATAATCTGAAGTACCCAAAAAGGCCACTAGACATTATCTCATAAAATTCCAAAAGAGCCTTGAAAGTTACCAAAATTCTGGTAGTTTACTGGTAATCTTCGAAAGATTCCCTTTGCAACCCTATACAGATCCCATGTACACAAAACCGCCAGAGTCAGAAATCGTTTGTCACCAGTATCATACAATTAAACAAATAACTCTGCTCAACACACATTTCCCGAAAGGGACACAATAAATATATAATTATATGAATAGCCTACTGGGCAGATGGAAAATATGATGCTTTTTGAAAGTTTATTTTGATCAGTTTTCAAGGCTGTAGGCCTGTCTAGGCCTGTATCTAGGGCAACATTTTTGCAATGAAATGAAACGAAATGTCCTCAATTAATTCACTCGCTTTCATACATCCAAAACAGTGCATATGGGGGTGATGGCGTTTGGTGATATAGTGGCGTTGCATTGTAAATAGACAACTACAACTCCCAGAGTCAACTGCTTTAACCTGGCGGTGATTGGCTTGTAAAGAGACAGGAACTTATGACGTGGCATTTGGAGACGCGGGAAACTCTACGCATGTTTACGGGATGTTGGATATGGGTAATTTCACTGCATTAACTCGAACCAGGTAACATTATTCAGTATGCTTACAGTAACAACATGTGAACTTTCAACAACTAAACATTACCCGTGAGTTTCCACACTGTTGTTGTCAGTTGAGCCAGCTAGCTAGTTAGCCAGCTAGCACTGCTGCAGAGGAAGGGAAGCAAAAGTGGTCAAGACAGACAGCTTGCACAATGCTCTGCTAGTTTGTAAAGAGTTATCTTGTTCTGTAACTGTCTCTTTATCTCTATTATAGGCCAAACTACTTTGTAAGTCACACACTTTACGGTTCGGTGTGTGTCTAAAAGTAGCCTAAACAATGCCAGCACAACTTCACCACCCAGGGTATGAGGATGAAAAGTTGCAGCGCGTGACGGAGAGGTTGCCTTGCAGAGAAGTCCAGGCTAGCATGTTACTGGCGTTGATGGGAGAGGTCTGTGTCTGATTTGAAACATTGTAACATCAAGCGCCTAATAGAATGTTTGACAATCTTCATTCTGCAAACAGTGTACTGCTTACTGACTGTACACTGTACTGCATGATTGTAGGGGGTTTACTAATGTGTTAGTTCTATTAGATATGTTGACTATGACGTTACTTTAGCTCATATGGTGACAACGATGTAGGCTGTGTGTAGAGGTTATGACATGGTTTGGCTTGGAACGTTTTTTTTCCCGCCTGGTCACATACAGCTGATGTGTTGTTCATTGAAGTCCACAAGCGAAGGGAAAAGGTGAGAGGAGGAGACCTTGTAGATGCGAGAAGGAATACAACTTGGCTGCTATGAAAGTGAACTGTGTTTACGTGTGATCAGGGGTGTATTCATTCTGACGATTCTGTAGAAAAACGTTTCCTAAACGGAACGAAACAGGGATGAACATACCTGCATTTGTCCAATAGAAACTCTCGTTTGCAACTGTTGGACTAATGATTACACCCTAGATCAGCTAGATGCAGGCAAGAGTGTGCAAGGCGGTATTGAATGTATCACTGTCTGTCCACGTGTCACTGTCTGTCACCTCAAATTACCTCAAACCTCATGATGGGTATAGGGAAAATTCAAGTATCATGTAGTAGCTTAAACCTATCGATGTTACATTGAACTGGGTGAATGGAATATGAATGACAGTCATCCAATATGCTGTAATAGAAATAACGCCATGCTCATAAACTATTTTTAGCATCCTCCCTCATCTTAAACAGCATCGACCGCCACTGTATTACATAATACATTTTCAATGTTTTCTAGCCCAAATATGTGAATCACTGTTTGTTTTGGGACTTTAATAAATGGTATTCATTTTGTGCCTACAGCCAGAGCAATGCAGCTACCCTTCCATGTTCATCTATGGTCATCGTGCCACAGGAAAAAGCCATGTGATACATACCTTGCTGAAGGAACTGGAGCTTCCCTATGCCACAGTGAGCTGTGTGGAATGTGTCTCTGTAGGACTGTTGTTTGAGCAGGTTCTGCTCTCCCTCTTTGGCTCCGACTCTGTCTCCCTACTGTCCCGCAGTCCCTCCCTGTCAGACTTCGTACGAGTCTACAAACAACTGTGTGTCCAGGCCCCAGCCAAGCAGACACGATACATTGTGAGTAAAAATCATCCTCACCTGTAATATTCCTGCTTGATAATCCACTTCTTTAAAACATTGCATCCTCAGTTACAATGCAGATTCTCTTTCCGAATAAGTATAACATGAATTGTTATACAGCATAATTTGTAGTATATTTAAGCAATAAGTCCCGAGGAGGTGTGGTATATGGCCAATATACCACAGCTAAGGGCTGTTCTTAAGCACGACGCAACGCGGAGTGCCTGAATGCAGCCCTAAGCCGTGGTATATTGGCCATATACCACAAACCCCTGAGGTGCCTTATTGCTATTATAAACTGGTTACCAAGGTAATTAGAGCAGTAAAAATACATGTTCTGTCATACCTGTGGTGTATATATATATATATCACAGCTTTCAGCCAATCAGCATTCAGGGCTCGAACCATCCAGTTTATAATATGTCTTAAGAAACAGTTACAGTGACCTCTGCTGTGTGTATCTGGGTAGGTGCTGGACCGGGCTGAGCTCCTTAGAGATATGGCAGCCAATCTCCTCCCTGCCTTCTTGCGCCTTCAGGAACTGGTAAGAGTCATGTCACCTCTTGAGCATACTATTTCATTAAGTTGCAGACAGACCATGAGTAATGGATGGTGAACTAGCGCAGAAGGGTCCCTTTTTGATAGATAACCTTGAATTTAATGTTCCAAGGATGCACTCGTAAAAGTTATTTGAAAGGCAGAGATGAGGAAGAATGACATTCTTGATAATCATTCTTTGCATATTAATTCTGAACCTCAAAAGTGCGGATAGACGACCAGAATGTTTAGTTTTCATTTAGTTTTTAAGGCTGAATGCCGCCTGTCTTTATCTTGGTAGAAGTGTTTTAAACAGCCTTGTGAGTGGCACACAGCTAGTGCGGTCACAGTGACAGATGCAGCTTTTGAGATGATAATTAGAAGCAGTAATGTGTAGTGTTGGGAGAATGCACTTGAAAAGCAGTCTACATAACTGTCCTCCCTCTTTAGTTTACTCAGGTTTGAAGGAGGAAAACACATCCCCTTGCATTGATATTGTAGTGGTACTGTAAAGGTGTAGTTGAATACCAAATGTTGAATACTAACATAGTTGTATTCTTTGTGAATCCACAATGTGATGCCAAATAACTGATCTGTGATCTGATCCTGTACCTCTACGTAACTGATACACTGTTTCTCTGGCAGGTTGAGGACAATGTGACGGTGATCCTGCTCAGTGAGATAGTGTGGGATAAGTTCCGACCCAACACTGGCTGCTTTGAACCACTGCTGCTCCACTTCCCTGATTACAGTAAAGGTACAGCTGTCAACAGACAAGCATCTATGGCCCTCAGCATTGAATTAGGTACAGATGGATTAGTGTCAGTGGAGGCTGCTGAGAGGAGAATGGCTCATAATAATGGCCAGAACGGAGCAAATGGAATGGCAGCAAACACCTGGAAACCATGTGTTTGATCTATTTGATACCATTCCACTGATTCTGCTCCAGTCATTCTCTTTAATTAAGGTGCCACCAACCTCCTGTGATTAGTGTGAGAACTCTTTGTACCTGTGGTTTTGAGCAGTGACTGTGGCAGAACACAGCAAACAAAGGCATCCGTGAGAGAACGTCGAGAAAATGAACAGTTAGGGATACAGTGTGATCAGTGTTTGAAAGAATGTCTGAGTTCCTGTACATAAAATGACTACAGTCAAGTGTGAGGGAGTCTTTGTGTATGACTTCATTTGAGGCAGGTGATGACTGCGTGTGTTGTCCCTGTGCAGGTGAGCTGCAGCAGATCCTGTCTGAGGACAGCCACCCATCCTACTCCCCAGAGCTCTACTCTGCCTTCATCAACATCCTACTGGGAGTCTTCTACTCTGTCTGCAGGGACCTCCGAGAGCTCAGACACCTGGTCAGTTACACACACTCATAAGTAGTCAGGCACACTTATAGTAACACTGAACTCTCACACATTCAGACCACACTCAGTAACTCAGTAACTCTCAACTCTCTCATAGCTGTTAACACACTCCGTCATAACACACTCCGTCATAACACACTCAGACAGCCCAGAAAAAGAACTAGCCCTTGCATCTCTAGATGTGTCTTGATACCCCCTTGTAAGTCTGAAAAAAATTAATGTCTTACACACTTATCCAGTCCTTTCAGATGTACAGTCGTGGTCAAACGTTTTGAGAATGACACAAGTATTGGTCTTCACAAAGTTTGCTGCTTCAGTGTTTTTAGATAATTTTGTCAGATGTTACTATGGTATACTGAAGTATAATTACAAGCATTCCATAAGTGTCAAAGGCTTTTATTGACAATTACATTACGTTTATGCAAAGAGTCAATATTTGCAGTGTCTTTTTCAAGACCTCTGCAATCCGCCCTAGCATGCTGTCAATTAACTTCTGGGCCACATCCTGACTGATGGCAGCCCATTTTTGCATAATCAATGCTTGGAGTTTGTCAGAATTTGTGGGTTTTTGTTTGTCCACCCGCCTCTTGAGGATTGACCACAAGTTCTCAATGGGATTAAGGTCTGGGGAGTTTCCTGGCCACGGACCCAAAATGTCGATGTTTTGTTCCCTGAGCCACTTAGTTATCACTTTTGCCTTATGGCAAGGTACTCCATCTTGCTGGAAAAGGCATTGTTCGTCACCAAACTGTTCTTGGATGGTTGGGAGAAGTTGCTCTCGGAGGATGTGTTGGTACCATTCTTTATTCATGGCTGTGTTCTTAGGCAAAATTGTGAGTGAGCCCATTTCCTTGGCTGAGAAGCAACCCCACACATGAATGGTCTCAGGATGCTTTACTGTTGGCATGACACAGGACTGATGGTAGCGCTCACCTTGTCTTCTCCGGACAAGCTTGTTTCCGGATGCCCCAAACAATCGGAAAGGGGATTCATCAGAGAAAATGACTTTACCCCAGTCCTCAGCAGTCCAATCCCTGTACCTTTTGCAGAATATCAGTCTGTCCCCAATGATTTTCCTGGAGAGAAGTGGCTTCTTTGCTGCCCTTCTTGACACCAGGCCATCCTCCAAAAGTCTTCGCCTCACTGTGCGTGCAGATGCACTCACACCTGTCTGCTGCCATTCCTGAGCAAGCTCTGCACTGGTGGTGCCCCGATCCCGCAGCTGAATCAACTTTAGGAGACGGTCCTGGCACTTGCTGGACTTTCTTGGGCGCCCTGAAGCCTTCTTCACAACAATTGAACCTCTCTCCTTGAAGTTCTTGATGATCTGATAAATGGTTGATTTAGGTGCAATCTTACTAGCAGCAATATCCTTGCCTGTGAAGCCCTTTTTGTGCAAAGAAATGATGACGGCACGTGTTTCCTTGCAGGTAACCATGGTTAACAGAGGAAGAACAATGATTTCAAACACCACCCTCCTTTTAAAGCTTCCAGTCTGTTATTCTAACTCAATCAGCATGACAGAGTGATCTCCAGCCATGTCCTCATCAACACTCTCACCTGTGTTAACGAGAGAATCACTGACATGATGTCAGCTGGTCCTTTTGTAGCAGGGCTGAAATGCAGTGGAAATGTTTTTTGGGGATTAAGTTCATTTTCATGGCAAAGAGGGACTTTGCAATTAATTGCAATTCATCTGATCACTCTTCATAACATTCTGGAGTATATGCAAATTGCCATCATAAAAACTGAGGCAGCAGACTTTGTGAAAATTTATATTTGTGTCATTCTCAAAACTTTTGACCACGACTGTATGCTGGGGCTTAAAGAAGTGTCAATAGGTTGGTGCAAGGGGTTAATTTCAGATTAGGCAACAGTTTGCTCTGACATCTTACACACACACACACTCACCATGCAGCCCTTTGAGGATTCAGCATGAGTTTGTTTCCAGGCTATCCATCACTATTTTATTTAGTCCAGTTGAGTTACTACTTCTAAGGATTGTGGTTTTGTTTGATATGCAGAATTGTAATAATAATAATAATATGCCATTTAGCAGACGCTTTTATCCAAAGCGACTTACAGTCATGCGTGCATACATTTTTGTTTACATTGTCATAGTCTGTACTTGTTGTCCTTTCATATATTTAATTCTCTTTTCAAACAGGCTGCCCTCAATTTCTCTAAATTTGTTGAACCTTTGGAGCAAGGCAAAGGTAATATATTCATATTTCTAGAACAGTAACTACATCAATATTTCAATTACTTTGCTGTCTTCTCTCCCTTAGTCTCTCTCTCTCTCTGTACTTTCATTTGATGAGGGATTCCTTTCATGTTATCCTCTCTTTAGCTTGTGTCTCAGATGATCAATGTTCTAATTCCACTCTTCAATTCCTCTGCCTTCAGTGAAAGAGGGTGACACTCACAAGCTGTGGAGGAACATCGAGCCTCACCTGAAGAAGGCCATGCAGACGGTGTACCTGCGAGAGGTGTCCAGGTCTGTCTGTGTACATCTGCCTCAACCAGAGATGATCGAGTCCCATTGATTTAGCTTCTGTGACCGACCTCATTCTCTCATGGACTTTGACGACAGACAGCCTTAATGACGTTTGCCTGTCTTTACTACACAACTACACAACACTGGCTCAGTGCTGCTGGCTCTGTAACAGTGTCCCCTGACTTTGTCACGTCTCTGTTCTGCTCAGTGTGCAGTGGGAGCAACAGCTGCAGATGGAGGAGGAGGAGGCAGGGGCCGTGAGAGGTAGGCAAGGAGACGCGTGGACACATGCACACAGATACACACAGATACAAAGACACACAGATGCATATGCACTGGGAACAAGACCGGTGGAAATAACCTAGTTAGAATCTAGTGACCAGGACCACTTCACACACGCCCAGACCCCAGCTATCGCCGGCTTTGTGTTGCTGCTTGTCCCCAGCCTGAGAGGGAGTTCAGGGGAGTGGACCCTCTAAACTGAATGGACTCATGGGCGGCGCACAATTGGCCCAGCGTCGTCCAGGGTAGGGGAGGGAATGGCCGGCAGGGATGTAGCTCAGTTGATAGAGCATGGCGTTTGCAACGCCAGGGTTGTGGGTTTGATTCCCACGAGGGGCCAGTATAAAAAAATAAAATATGTATTCACTAACTGTAAGTCGCTCTGGATAAGAGTGTCTGCTAAATGACTAAAAATGTAAATGTACTCCAGGCTCATTGGTACTAGATACCAGTGGAAACAACAGCAGATGTTTCTCTCTTCTCCTATCCACATGCCATCTGTAGATGATGCTGTTGTACATATTTCTCACGGTAATGACATTGAGAGCTTCCTCTGCCTTTCTCAGGTCTGTCTGCTCATGCCCATGTGGAGCTGCCTTACTACTCCAAGTTCCTGCTGATAGCTGCATACCTGGCCTCCTACAACCCTGCTCGCACTGACAAACGCTTCTTCCTCAAGGTACCTGTTCTCTCCATTCAGCACCTGAACCTCATTCACCATTTCAAAAGCTAGACACATGATTGTCAAGTCATCATTGAAATAGGAGGGAGTTGTTAAACATCAATGCCACCTGCTATTCAGCAACTCTATTAGCCTGCTACTTTGGCTACTCATATTTCTAGTGATTTTTTAAAGGATTTTGGGGGGAGGGGGCAGATCAGCTTTAATATTGCAGATGGATTGTAGGTTATATTAATGTAATTGTTTGCATTCTTTTTAATTCCCGCTCTCTCTTGCCCCAACAGCACCATGGCAAAATAAAAAAGACCAACTTTTTGAAGAAACATGAAAAGGTGATTCTCTTTAGCTAAAGCTGCAGTACTATTATTTAGGTTTAGTCAATGAGATGTTCTACCTTGTGAATCCACCTCCCTCCCTCCCTCCCTCCCCTTCAGACCAGTAATCACCTGCTGGGGCCCAAGCCGTTCCCCCTGGACCGTCTCCTGGCCATCTTCTACAGTGTGGTGGACAGCAGAGTGGCCCCCACCGCCAGTGTTTTCTGTCAGGTCAGCTGAAACACTCAGGCTTTCTGCAGGGTCATCCAAGGGATCATTTAGAATGTTTTATTTAACTTTTATTTTGACAGGGAGTCATGCTGAGAACAAGGTCTCTTACAGATGAAGCCTTTATCAAACATACACATCAATACACGAAAAGTACAACGCAATCATATATACTGAACAAAAATATAAATGCAACATTCAAAGATTTAGTTGAGTTACAGATCATATAAGGAAATCAATCAATGTAAATATATTCATTAGGCCCTAATCTATGGATCTCACATGACTAGGAAGGGGCGCAGCCACGGGGGAGCTGGAAAAATGTATGGAACATTTCTGGGATCCTTTATTTCAGCTCATGAAACATGGGACCAACACTTTACATGTTGTGTTTATATTTTTGTTCAGTATAAAACAAACACATTCTTCAGTAAAAAAGGTCCTCAATCAGCTCTGACTCTGAACTGGGATCATGGAAAATGATGTAGCGAAGTTATTTATGGAACTCCTAGAACAGTCATGTGGTGATGGCAGAATTAGTGTATGATTGGATAATACTGGATTATGGTTCTAATTTACCAGATGTCCCCTTGGCTAGATTATTTCAACCCCTGAACTGCTCTTGAATTTATGTAGTGGTACGGGGGCAATGTGATTTTAAAATGATTTGATCTCCAGTCTGAATTCTCTATTTGTGTAAAGCCAAATGAAACATGGTTGATGACAAGCCCTCATCACCCCCCCTTAGATCTCCTCTCTGGTGACCCTTCAGCTGTTGAATCAGGTGGGCCACGATGACCAGCTGGATGCGCCCAAGTACAAATGTGCCGTCTCTCTGGACTTCGTCCTCGCCATCTCCAGGTGTCTATGTTACTGTTGTCTATAGTGCAGGGCTCTCCAACCCTGTTCCTGGAGAGCGACCCTCCTGTAGGTGTTCGCTCCAACCCCAGTTGAACCTCTTTCAGTTCATCAACCAGCTAATTATTCGAATTTGGTGTGCTAGATTAGGGTTGGAGTGAACCTACAGGAGGGTAGCTCTCCAGGAACAGGGTCGGAGAGCCCTGCTTTGGTGTGTTCACCACAGATCTGTTTTACTGCTAGACATTTCTATTTTGGAATATCAGATTGGGTCTTTTTGCTAACTGTTGTTACCCCCATTCTCTGATTTTCAAGGACTGTGAGTTTTGACATGGTAAAGTACCTGTATGACTTCCTGTGAGCATGGTGGTATAAGGGAGAGGAATTCAGCTGGACTCTGTACTGGTGGACATTGGACAAACATGAGCAGAAAGGTGGGAGATGCCTCGGTTGTTAGGACGTCCTCACTGTGTGACTGCAGGACCAGAGGACTATGGAATCATTAGGCCTATGCTTTACTGCTCCCTGGTGGCTGACTGGAACCACTGTCAGACACCAGCATCTGCAGCATTGTGAATGTGCCTATTGATTCCCTACCTACACCTGTTGGATTGTGGTGTACAAACAATAGAGAACATTCATACTTTACTGGATTGACAGGAGCCTTCAATATTATTTTTCAATAATTCAAAATAAAATGTACCTGTTAACAAAGGTTTCATAATTGTGACAGGATTGTGTTCTCTCCATAGGCTGACATCTACAGCAACGCACAATATGAACCTGGTAGAATTAAGGACTCATCGAAGACTTCTTTTAAGGTACAACATGTAGGGTATATATAATATGTCTAGCCTTTCTTCTCTTTGATTCTAGATGTTGCGTTCCCATGAAGTCAAATTGTCCCATTAATTGCTCTGTTGGTGTAAATGGCTGTGCTGATAGTATGAAATAAGATTGTCACAATAATTGTGTAACTGACAATTATGGACAATAACTGTGAACCAAAAATAATAATCTTCTTAAAACCTTCATTTTAGGAGGAGGGGGGGGGGGGGGTATTCCACTTTATTTACAAGTAGATAGAGGCAAGTTTACCCAATAGCAGTTTTTCATTTTTACATGAGGGTAAAGTTGGTCATTGTTTTACGAGCAGAACAGCATGGTTGAGAGTAGTAACTTATTTTCCAAATGTTCCAAGCGGTCAAACCCATTCATTTTTGAGACGCGGTTGTCACCAAAGCTGTGTTGTATTCATTAGGTATGTCATGGCTATTTTCAAAGATTAATTATAATACATTACAAGCGCAAAACATTTTTCAACAAAAATGACTGACAATAACTATGGCCGTTTCCATGACAATTAATTGTTACCCAAAATTCCATAAAGGTCAAAGCCCCATGTACTAGGTAGTCTCCCAGATTCCCTTTAAGCTATATGTGGGAGGGATCTGAGCTAAGGCACTAGGCAGTAGCAGTCCACTAGTGGCTCATTGGTCCCGTGTAGCTCAGTTTGTAGAGCATGGCGCTTGCAACGCCAGGGTTGTGGGTTCGATTCCCACGGGGGTATGAAAAAAATGTATGCACTTACTACTGTATGTCACTCTGGATAAGAGTGTCTGCTAAATGACTAAAATATAAAATGATCACCTCTCCATGATGGTTGACTTCCTCCCTGATAACAGTGGTGCATTGATTTGGTATATGTGGTAAGTGGTGTGGTCCTCTGTAGCTCAGCTGGTAGAGCACGGCGCTTGTAACGCCAGGGTAGTGGGTTCGATCCCCGGGACCAACCATACACAAAAATGTATGCACGCATGACTAAGTTGCTTTGGATAAAAGTGTCTGCTAAATGGCATATTATTATTATTATTATGGGCTGCAGTGGTAGATTATTAATGCTTTCTGGGTTAACAGGTGCCATATTCCTGGGTACTTGTTTTTTGTCACTAGCCATTCCTGCCCCAGTGAATCCCCTAACTGATGACAATGGCCTCCTCTTGGGATGTGCCTGCAGGCTGCGGCTATGTTTTAGAGATGATTAAATGCCTTTATCCAGATTTAAACACTCATCCTGTGAGTAGTGGATCAACCAGCGCAGCACAATGCAGTCTGTTCTGTCTGTCTGCAGAGGTAAAGCCGGTACAGTCAGATCCACAAGGAGATTTTTGGGGGTTTTAGGTCCTCACACTGACTGACTGTGACCTCTACTCCTTTTTTATTTGGTTTGGGTGTAATCTATGTATCAGCCGGCATATTTATTCATATTAAACATGCTGCTGACTGTCAGACTGCCATGGTCTGTGGTGTCCTTCCTTCCAGATTCATTCAGATCCATGTAAGTGCTGCGTGACCTTTTTGTAGTGCGTTATGCATGTGTGTTACCAAGGAAATGGTGCATGGTTGTCGTGGCAACCACATTGGCACAGTCTGTCTTGTGACTCACCTCCCTGTCTCCCTCATTATGCCACAGATACTGTAATGTCTGTTAGGCATTTTGATTTCTAAAACAATAGCGAGCAATTAAAGCTGTGGAGGTGATGAAAATACAATGTCGATTTCAATCTTTATTTTACAATTATAAACTAGAGCAATTTTTTGGTAAAATGTTTCTTTCTACAGAAGGCATGAGGTTAGTGGGCTACGGGTCTATATAAAGGTCATTCTAATGCCCACTAGGCGAGAGCATTGATCATTCATGCATAATGTCTCACACACTCACAGAAACACAGAAACAAATTTGCACAATTTATTTTTTACACTTTACTGTCTTGTAGGGAAAACATTAGAATGTAGTTGTGTTAAGATATTCCTTCAAATTAATGAAGACCTGAAAATGCTAACTTTAATCTCCTAACAACTGGGGCCAGTGCAATGTAAAAACATGCTGGTCTTATATTTTTTTATAAGTGCATTTTGTGACATAAGTATTATACAATTATTGAGATCCCTAACTTGTGGAAGTACCTGTTTCCTGAGGAACTGGACCGTTTAGTCATGGCACAGAATAAACTTGGGTTCTAGTTATATTTGAGGTGACAACTGACTGTACTGGGAGGAAAGTAGGTGAATTATAACTTCCTCCAATAGAACCCGGGAACACAGTCATAGAGAGGAACCACTCAGCTGAATAACTGAGGTTGGTCTAAAAGATAAATTGAGACGTCATTATCGATGTGGTTTGGAAAGGATAATTTCCCTACAGGAATCTGTCTGAGGTGGATGAGGGATTACATTTTTTATTTATTTTTTGGTCAGGAATGCATGGGTTATAATGGGTAGTCAACACCCTGGGTAGTCACCACTCCCTCCACCCTCCTCTTTATCCTCCACCCTCCTTATGTTATGACCTAGTTGGGTCACAGGTTCAGCTGACGGTGTGAGAGATGATCTCTCTCATCATGTAGACCTCTCAGAGATTTAGATCATGCACAAGGTCAATAACCAGCCAGCGATGGTTGACTGAGTCATTTGTATGCAGGCAAAGGGCATTTTTCATCGTCATTCAACCTCCTTGTGAAGTACGATAACAAAGAATGCATTCAAAGCATGGCCCTTCAGCATTGCTAAGATAAAGATTGTCTTCATAAAAATCTGGGCTAGATCTTTTGAGAGGGCTCATGGCTCAGTTCCTATGTGACCCTTCGGCAGTGTATTACAATCGAGAGTGGAGATGGAGGCGTCTGAGGGCAGACTCTAAACACTGTGCCTCCGGTTGTGGATCATGGCGACTATGTGGGTGAGATCCAAGGTCTTCATCATCACTTCCATGAAGTCTTCGTCAGTGTGAGCCCCTGCCACAAACTCCTCCAAAGACAGCTCCCCTGATGGGTAGAAGGGAGAAGACAAGGTCAAGAGGTTGTTTACCTGAAATGGAAAGGGACAGAACTCGCAACCCTACAAGTCTGTGACAAAAAAGAAGTGGACACTCACCATCTCCGTTGACGTCTATCTTGTCAAACACCCGGTTGGTGAACTCCTCCGCATCAACTTCCTGGTTTTCATTCCCATTGATTGCACGGATTGCCTGAAGAAGAGAAAAGGAGTGAGTTAGCCTGCATGCCTTTGTGTGATACAGATTCCATTGCACAGCACTGCCTATCTGGACTGGACTCTATACCTTTATGATGTTTAGCAGCTCACTTCGATCAATGCACCCGTTGCCGTCCACATCATACAGCTTAAAGTACCAGCGGAGCTTATGTTCCATTTTACCCCGCATTACCAGACTCAGAGCAGCCACATATTCCAAGAAGTCTATGTAGCCATCCTGTAAAAAATTAAGTGTTTTAGTTGGAATGTCTCTTTTTAACATCTCAGATTATCTCAGTCATCTCCTAAAGATGTAGGTGATCATGTTCTGCTTAGAAGATCCATTATCAGGGATGATAACTATGTATAATCGGTGTGGGATTATCTCCCCACTGATCTGTGCCAAGGCCGTGGCAAGACGTACAGATGTAGGATCTTAATTTGATCACCATGTTGCAGGTTAACTTTCCTGCAATGTAGGACATTTTAAAACCTTAGTGTATGAGGTTTAAAAAGGCTTCTGAAGTTTGTCATTTCCACTTAAAAATGTCAGACTTGATTTTCCCATATGAAAAATGTATCAACCCCTACAAAAATGTCCATGATTTATAATCTGCATAATAATTCACATTTCCTGTTGCTGCAGGATTATTTTACTGCTGTAGAAAACTGGCTCAAATTAAGATCCTACATCTGTATATTACAAAACAAAATTACTTGGCTGCATTAGTGACCTCTGGGTCAACCCAAATGAGTCGCACTTCCCTCAGCTTTACACTGACACCCTCCCTCACTTCACTATGGCTCTTTTTTTTCACTAATTGGTCTTTGACCAATCAGATCAGCTCTGAAAAAGATCTGAGGTGATTGGTCAAAAAATACCAATTAGTTTAAATGCAGCCAAAGTGCACAATCTAAGATTGTCATACTGCACTTCCTAATCAGCATCCAGGATTCAAACAACCCATTTTATAATAACATAATTACCAGCCTTGTCCACTGCACTGTACTTAAGATCAGAAAATAGCAGTCACTTAGTTCTGTCCCCAGGGAATAGCACCATGGTTTCCAACCTCCCCAGGTACAAGCATAACTACTCGGTACTGACAAAAATGGGAAACTCAAAAGACAAAAGGTCTATTCTGCCACACAGCTCTTGAGATCTGGACATTCCTTAGGCTTCAATGTGATAAAAGGGAGATTCAAGTAATTTATTTGAAGTGAACACTCAATATTCTGATCAGTGTAACCAACTGTTCCCATGTTCCGTCATTCAACTTTCACATAAGCTATCACTAATTAGAATCAGCCGTCTCTGATGCTGAAATCATTTCATTGATTCTGAAATGGACCAGAATGTACTGGAGAATACCAGAACCTGGTGCTGTCTTTCTAAAGAGAGAAATAATAGGTAAGCTCAGACTGCACTCCTACCACAGAGATATTGACAACTTGTCTCAAAATAATCCTCATACTAAATCGCATATGAATCCAATCCCAGCCTATTATAATCAAAGGTGACAGTGTTACTAAATTGAGCCTTAGTACTTGTGAGACGATTAGCTTCTTCAAACGGAAAGACTAGTCAAAACAAAAACCTTTGGATTCAAGGTATTCCCTATGTTTAACTGTAGATTCTTTCTGGTTCACTTTTTTAAATGTACTTTAGCTTTTGGAAAATTGAGAACTAGAGGTCTTATTCGAGTAGTGGCATTATGACATTTCTATAAATTTAGGTGCACTTGTAATTAGTGCATACATTTACAATACAGCCAATCATATCCTTATACGTACCTCTGTTGGTAAGGTGTCCCCTTCCCCATTTTGAGTGTGCCTGAGGCATTCCTACTTTCACATATAAATGTAAAGCCCATTTTAGCCTATAGCATCCCCTTTGCAAGCAGCCTCGGTTCAATGAATGCAGAAAAGTCTTACCTTGTTCATATCGAACGTGCGGAACATCTGCTCGATGTAGGCGTTGGCCTCAGCATCCAGTCCCCGGAGCCCAAAGAACTGCTTGAACTCATGCAGGGTGAGCTGACCCGAAGGACACTCTGTCATGAACTTCTTATACCAGAGGTGCTTCTCCACGGCCTGGAGATCTTCCACGGTGGATCCTGTAGAGTTACCCATGTCTGTAGAGTCGACTGACTGTGTTGTGATGGCTGGAGCCTATCGAATTGTTGAAAGAGGGGGTTGGCGGTCGCCTTAAGAGCCCTATTGGTCTACTGTGAAGCGGACGATATCGCTCTTCACAGTCACACAACGATGGGACCTGGGGAAGAGGTGGGCACCGGCCAGGGGCTTTAGTATCAGGTCGGGACGGGCCACACCCTGTTGTGTTCTCCTTGTCTCTAATTGGCTGTAACCCAGGTGCAGTAGCTGATAAAGGGCTTAAGGTCTCATTGGAGGAAAGGAGGACTGTCCACCAACCATGGGACAGTGACGCTGACTAACACCTTGGTATTCTCCTCCCAAACTGATAAGTACTATTTAAAGCCCAGTGCAGTCAAAAACGTGATTTTCCTGTGTTTTATATATATTTCCACACTGAGGTTGGAATAATATTGTGAAAATGATAATGCCTTTTTAGTGTAAGAGCTGTTTGATGGAGTTTTGGCCTGCCTGTTGACATCACCAAGCGGTTAATTATTAAATAGATCAATCCAAACCTCTCTGCCAACAGCTAATTTTCAGTTTTCCCCTCCCCGCTCAGACAACTCCCAGACAGTCCTAGCAAAATTCTTGCTTGAGAAATTGCTCTTTGCTAAAAAGCTATTTTTTCCCCTTTTTGACAGTTTCAATTGAAAACAATCACAGTACGGTACTTAATTGTTACCCAGAAATTATTTGATATTGAGATAGAAATTGCTGCATTGGAACGTTAAGTAATTTTTTGGGGCTGTCTGTACTATTTATATTTTTGACAACTTACATTTCAAATGCTAAGGCAGGACAGCAATATGCTCCAATTCATGTACCTATCAATATAAACCATCCCTGCTGTCTCTGATCTGGCAGACTCACTAAACAAATACTGTTTCTAAATGATGTCTGAGTGTTGGAGTGTGCCATCTGGTTTTCTTAATATAAGGAATTTGATGTATAGCATTTACTTTCACTTTTACTCAAGTATGACAATTGAGTACTTTTTCCACCACTGTAAATGCACTGCAGTATCATTAGTCATACATATGAACAGATGCATTGCTTCTCTGGATCAGCAATTGTAAAGTATGTCATGACTTGCCCTCATGGGTTGAGGATCAAATATGCCGGCTAGGCAAAGGTTTGAACACCCCCTTTCCTGGGGGCCAGTTTTATGACCGGTCGTAAATACAGTGCAGACTTTCTCTTCCTTGCCATGAAGTATTGGGAGAAAGGACCCCTTTGTTAACAAAGGAAGTCTTCCCGCCAAGACTCCAACATCCAAAAGTGGATAATGAAACAATATTCCTACTTAAAAAGAATGTGGGAAATGGTTGGTGGGGACTTAAAGAACAATCATGTGAAATTCGTTACTATGTTGTGATGTCATTAAAGACGGTGGAACAACATAACGGTATCTCTGGGGGGTACACTTCCCAGTTATGAGGTTTGCATCTAATTGTTGTATAAAACGAATGATTAAGTATAATAATAGATAGAATAAAAGATAAGTGATTTTAGCATTCTAGATGAGATTATTGTTTTCCATATTGATTTGTTCTCAGTCAGTGGCCACGCCCAGATGAGCACAAACATGAGGGAATGCCCCTTTTACCCCGAGTGCATAAAAAGCCTTGTGACGAAATTCACCTCAGACCAGCAGACGTGAAGCGTGAGCCAAACGTTGCAAATGGTTGAATTTCTACCAGACCAGGAAGCCCCACGGCTTAAAATGGTTGAAACTCTACAGACCAGCGGACGTGAAGCATGAGCTAAACGTTGTAAAATGGTTGAATTTCTACAAGACCGGAAAGACCAGAAAACGCGAGACGTTAGTCCACACGTTTGAAATGGAGAAACTCTGAAACTCTCAACCTCTACACGAAGAAGACAATGCACTAGACCTTACAATTTCAGTCTGCAGCTGGCATGTATAGTCGTCTAGAGAACTTTCACTAAAGATACGAGAGGAGAGGACAATCCCTCTCAGACAACCGCAGGTACATCTGTAGTATCCATTCTAACCACCACTACGACCAGAAACTCTACCAAGGACATTGAGCTCTGGTGGGCAAACCAGAGTCCCAAATCATCAACGCAACTATCGAGGACAGCAACATGTAAATACATGTTGCATTTATAATCCGAATGAGCGATTTATTAGGGTGCATAAGTATTATGATTACTGTGAGCGTAGTTTCCAAAGTAACTACGATAGTTTGAATCTCTGTCTCTCCCTTCCATTCTGACCCCTCCACTACCCAAGCATTCATGCTAATGTTAGTCCAGTCCACTAGGGACCTGTTTTCATTGTATTACGTTAGTAATTGTATTGTGTTTTTATTTAGTTAGTAAATAAATTAGCCAAGTTGTGTATTGCTGATTCATCAATAAGGTTAGGGTTCTTGCAGGTTCAAGGATTATGCGACGTTCAGAAGGAGACTGAAAATAGGTAATTATTTGATAAGTGACTTATCGATATACAGTGAGGGGAAAAAAGTATTTGATCCCCTGCTGATTTTGTATGTTTGCCCACTGACAAAGACATGATCAGTCTATAATTTTAATGGTAGGTTTATTTGAACAGTGAGAGACAGAATAACAACAAGAAAATCCAGAAAAACGCATGTCAGAAATGTTATAAATTGATTTGCATTTTAATGAGGGAAATACGTATTTGACTCCTCTGCAAAACGTGACTTAGTTGTTGCCTTGTTGGCAATCACAGAGGTCAGATGTTTCTTGTAGTTGGCCACCAGGTTTGCACACATCTCAGGAGGGATTTTGTCCCACTCCTCTTTGCAGATCTTCTCCAAGTCATTAAGGTTTCGAGGCTGACGTTTGGCAACTCAAACCTTCAGCTCCCTCCACAGATTTTCTATGGAATTAAGGTCTGGAGACTGGCTAGGCCACTCCAAGACCTTAATGTGCTTCTTCTTGAGCCACTCCTTTGTTGCCTTGGCCGTGTATTTTGGGTCATTGTCATGCTGGAATACCCATCCACGACCCATTTTTTTAATGCCCTGGCTGAGGGAAAGAGGTTCTCACCCATGATTTGACGGTACATGGCCCCGTCCATCGTCCCTTTGATGCGGTGAAGTTGTCCTGTCCCCTTAGCAGAAAAACACCACTAAAGCATAATGTTTCCACCTCCATGTTTGACGGTGGGGATGGTGTTCTAGGGGTCATAGGCAGCATTCCTCCTCCTCCAAACACGGCGAGTTGAGTTGATGCCAAAGAGCTCCATTTTGGTCTCATCTGACCACAATACTTTCACCCAGTTCTCCTCTGAATCATTCAGATGTTCATTGGCAAACTTCAGACAGGCATGTATATGTGCTTTCTTGAGCAGGGGGACCTTGTGGGCGCTGCAGGATTTCAGTCCTTCACAGCGTAGTGTGTTACCAATTGTTTTCTTGGTGACTATGGTCCCAGCTGCCTTGAGATCATTGACAAGATCCTCCTGTGTAGTTCTGGGCTGATTCCTCACCGTTCTCGTGATCATTGCAATTCCACGAGGTGAGATCTTGCATGGAGCCCCAGGCCGAGGGAGATTGACAGTTATTTTGTGTTTCTTCCATTTACGAATAATTGCACCAACTGTTGTCACCTTCTCACCAAGCTGCTTGGAGATGGTCTTGTAGCCCATTCCAGCCTTGTGTAGGTCTACAGTCTTGTCCCTGACATCCTTGGAGAGCTCTTTGGTCTTGGCCATGGTGGAGAGTTTGGAATCTGATTGATTGATTGCTTCTGTGGACAGGAGTCTTTTATACAGGTAACAAGCTGAGATTAGGAGCACTCCCTTTAAGAGTATGCTCCTAATCTCAGCTCATTACCTGTATAAAAGACACCTGGGAGCCAGAAATCTTTCTGATTGAGAGGGGGTCAAATACTTATTTCCCTCAATAAAATGCAAATCAATTTATAAAATTTTTGACATGCGTTTTTCTGGATTTTTTTGTTGTTATTCTGTCTCTCACTGTTCAAATAAACCTACCATTAAAATTATAGACTGATCATTTCTTTGTCAGTGGACAAACGTACAAAATCAGCAGGGGATCAAATACTTTTTTCCCCCTCACTGTATAACATATATATATATATATATATATATTTTAAGAGTTTAATTCGGGAGATGGTAACTCGTTAAACAACTTCTTCCGTGGTGCCCCAAATTCCTAATGAGTTAATTGTTACATGATTAATTTAATCGAGTGACAATTAAACATAGGCGATTCGATAAATAACAGTCATACATTAAAGTAAGTCACGTCACGACAAGTAAATGCTACTGTTTCTGGAAACGACCATGATGTTTTAATTGAAGACTGAGCTCTTTAAAACAGCATCAACCGTGCACAGTTGTTCCCATGAGACTCCAGCTCTTTGGGTGACAGTGTTCTCTAACAATCTGGAATCATTTTATGTTAGCTCACCTATTTGCAAGCCTACATCAATCATGAAAATGTGTCTGTGTGGCATTTGACTGGAAAGGGAAGGAAATTGTAAAGAACGTCACAGTTATGTTTAGTTTGGTTTATTGAGATTCCTTCACATTCATGGACCAAGTAGGCCCAGGTCATTGCTCATTAATAAGTTAATCATGACCACAACACACTGCTTTCTGCAAGCATAAACTATCCGTATTACAGCGCAACAATAACATTGACGCCAGACAAGCAGCGGATTTAGCATAATGCATAATAAAGTACTTCAACTGCTTAGGCGCAGATAGAACATTGTGGCACATCCTAGAGTTGGTTATACGTTTCTTACTTAGACTACAGTACAGAGTACATGCTGTAGCTTTCACAGAAATCCCATCCTGAAGCAGTTTCCTTTAGTGGTTCTTAAAGCTGGAATCCTTAATGGTGAAACTTTCATGTCCGTTTGGGATATTACTATACTGAACAAAAATATAAACGCAACGTGCGGTGTTGGTCCCATATTTTATGAGCTGAAATAAAAGATCCCCGAATTTTTCCATTCGCACAAAAAGCTTATTTAGCTCAAATTTGTTTACATTCCTGTTCGTGAACATTTCTCCTTTGCCAAGATAACCCATCCACCTGAAAGGTGTGGCATATCAAGAAGCTGATTAAATAGCATGATCATTACACAGGTGCACCTTGTGCTAGGGACACATACTGCCACATTTTTTTGAATTTGGCAGTACATCCAACCGGCCTCACAACCGCAGACCACGTGTAACCACACCAGCCCAGGACCTCCACATCCGGCTTCTTCACCTGCGGGATCGTCTGAGACCAGCCATCCAGACAGCTGATGAAACTGAGGAGTATTTCTGTCTGTAATAAAGCCCTTTTGTGAGGAAAAACTCATTCTGATTGGCTGGGCCTGGCTCCCTAGTGGGTGGGCCTATGCCCACCCATGGCTGCACCCCTGCCCAGTCATGTGAAATCCATAGATTAGGGCCTAATTTATTTATTTCCTTATATGAACAGTAACTCATTAAAATTGTTAATTGTTGCATTTATATTTTTGTTCAGTATACAAAAACAAAAGTTACTGCAAACACTTGTTTTCCCCTCGCACATCATTGCACGTGTGATAGAACAGCAGAATGTGTACTGCAAAAAAATTTTAACACGCTGCTCACCTCCGTAACACAGGAACTGGGGGGCGAACAGTAGTGCCGTTTCCCCTAATGCGGATTCCATCTTTAAAGGCTTTATCTAGACCAGGGGTGTCAAACTCATCCCATGGCGGGCCGAGTGTCTGCAGGTCTTTAGTTTTTCCTTTCAATAGAGCCTTAAACAACCAGGTGAGGGGAGTTCCTTACTAGTTGGTGACCTTAATTCATCTATCGAGTACAAGGGAGGAGCGAAAACCCGCAGACACTCAGCCCTCAGTGGAATGAGTTTGACACCTGTGATATACACTGAGTATACAAAATATTAAGGACACCTGCTCTTTCCATGACATAGACTGAATCCAGGTGAAAGCTATTGATCCCTAATTGATGTCACTTGTTAAATCCACTTCACTCAGTGTAGGTTAAGGGGAGGAGTCCAGTTAAAGAAGGATTTTTAAGCCTTGAGACATGGATTGTGTATGTGTGCCATTCAGAGGGTGAATGGGCAAGACAAAAGATTTAAGTGCCTTTGAACGGGGTATGGTAGTAGGTGCCAGGCGCACCGGTTTGTGACAAGAACTGCAACGCTACTGGGTTTTTCACGTTCAACAACAGTTTCCTGTGTGTATCAAGAATGGTCCACCCAAAGGACAGCCAGCCAATTTGACACAACTGTGGGAAGCGTTGGTGTCAACATGGGCCAGCATCCCTGTGGAATGCTTTCGACACCTTGTAGAGTCCATGCCCCGATGAATTGAGGCTGTTCTGAGGGGGGTCCTAATGTTTGGTATACTCAGTGTATATGAGTTGTTGAAATAGTGATTGAAGTACAGACACAACAGTCAACGCATTTCCAACTGTAGGGATTACTGTTGGCATGATTTTGAACACAGTGCTGCCATTCATATAGTATTTTCACAGTTTGTACAAATAAAGTTAAAACAAATATTTAAGTTCTTAAAAGGATACACGTTATAAGCATAGTTAAAGAAAATTATGTATCCATTCAACTCAATAGTGGTTAGAATTACTGATAAACACAGTATAATGCAGGAATTGGAATAGTCTTGTGACAGACTGAACATCAATGTAATCGAGTAGATTTGGTTCTGGGTGCCGAGATTAGAATGGGAAAGACCCTGGAAACATACTCCTCAGTTATTAACAGTTACATGAATAGCTGGCTGTGGGACAAAATAGCTGCTTAGAGTTAGACCCCTATACTGTACATCCTATACATTTTACAAATGACAGTTTATAGGTAGGTAGTGTAGTTGAATTGATGTTATACCCTTTAGAAAAGTGTTACAATACCAGAGATGTAAGTGTGTTTAATGCCTGATTCTTCCACTCCTGTTAGTGGTTTTGGAGAAGCATTCCTGGAACATTATTATAGCAGCTTATGATATGAATATTCAAACATGTAACTTTAATATTGGCTTTACAGTACAAGGAATACACATGCAACTGATACATGCATATACTGTAAAACACTATACTGTTAGTAATACAAAAATGAAATGCTAAAACTGAATGACTTCAGTAAGGGGCTCCTTCCATTCTACTTCAACTCTCACCACCGTTGCACTTCATTTTCCCAAAAGATCAGTGAGATCTTCCGATTTGATGTCTTGAGCAGGCTGTCCAGTTAGTGCTAGGGTTTTAGGTTAAAACCATGAAAACATTTTTTTAAAGACTTCTTCAGGTTTAAAGAGACTTGAAATGTTTACTCTGGTCACCCTGATTTTGTGTCAAGGCTGGGACAGATCTGCTTGGCAACCCCTCCACCGCCCCTTCTACGCCACCAATGCAAGTGTCTGTAGACAGAGTCAAAAACCGACGCGGTGTACCGTGCAAACAGTGTGGTCCACTTCAGCATCTGCACGAACCAGTTCACAGAGCGACTCACAAAGGTCACAAACACTGTGGTGTAGTGTGCAAGCAGGAGGAGGCTTCGTGCAAGTTGTCTTCCATTGTTGATGATCAGATTGACCCGTGGGTCATGCCCCGGCCCCATCCTAATAAATTCAGTTGTGTGGTTTCAAATGAAAAAGGATAAGAAGGTTAATCGTGGTATAAAAAGACAAAAACATTATCTGGCAAAAAAGAGAGAGATTGTTCTGGCGCATGTTGCACATTTTTAGTTTTTTTAATGTCCATGACCCTAAGATGGTCTCTAGAAGAAAATGGTAAACAGTCGGAATTTACAGACGCCCCCTTACTGTTGCGCAATCCTCCACTGGCCAATCGCTGCTCTGCAAGTTTTGTTTCCGGTATGTTTGGTGATGTGGCTATGCACAGAAATCCAGCAGAGGAGATTTATCAAATAAAAAGCAGAAACTGGTATCTGAGAAGCACTCATACAGGTTAGTGCCTTCGTTCTTTCAACTATCAGCACACCATTCCCAGAGTTGCAGTTTAGAACAGCTGCCACGCGCTCCAAAAAAACCAGGCACGGCGATATATTTATCCTATTATTCTTGTTAGCCAGCTAGCTAGCTGCTTGTCTACGTGCACTGAAAAGCTAACTCGTCGTTCGCTTTATCTCTGAGATTGTCTACTGTGCTGTTTTTATGCATGCACAACCAATACAGCATCATAATTCCGATGTATGTATATACATCAAATACTCTTACTATGGTTGGAGACAGCACTGTCAAATTGTTCAGAAAGTAATCCATCCATCTCTCCCCTTAATCTTTGCCGTTCAGAAGCTAGTGGGCAAAACGAAGTGACGCAGCCGCAGTCGAATGGCCCTATTGTTCGGCAGTGTTCGGTTCTGTCCGGTGACACTCGAACCTCGAGGCCCTCTGCACGAACTATCTGGGTCACAAAACAATAACAATAATGCCCTTAAATGTATGTTGCCACAGGTATATTATTGACACAAAGGATGATTGACTGCAGTGGCGGTCGGTGCCGTTTAAGATGAGGGAGGAGGATTTTTTGATGAGCATGGCCTTATTTCTATTACAGCATATTGGATGACTGTCATTCATATTCCGTTCACCCAGCTCAATGTAACGTCGCTAGGTTTAGGCTACTACATGATACTCTAATTTTCCCTGTACCCATCATGAGGTTGCTACAACTGAGCCTATGAATTAAAGTAGAGCATTTTGAATAATCAAGGTGACAGACAGTGACACATTCAATACCGCCTTGCACACGCTTGCCTGCATCTAGCTGATCTAGGGAGTAATCATTAGTCCAACAGGTGCAAATGTTAATTTCTATTGGACAAATTCAGGTATTATTAACCCCCATTCATTACGTTTGCTTCCGTATAAGAACCAGTGGGACCGGTGGCAATAAATTAATGAAACCAAAAGCTTACCTTGACTTGGAAGAGTTCCAGTGTTTGATAGCCAGCTAGCTAACATAGCATCTCTCTCTGTTTGAGCCGGGTGTTTGAGTATGCTAAACTATCTAAGTAAGTGAAAGTTAAAAAAAGAAACATACAACCAAATATAGCTAGCCCTCTTGCGCACGCTCTCTCTCTCTCTCTCTCTCGCTTTTCCTTAATTTTGGAAGAAATTAATTTGTTCAAAACTGTTAAACTATTGTCTTTCTCTCTTTGAGTCAACTACTTATCACATTGTATACACTGCAGTGCTAGCTAGCTGTAGCTTATGCTTTCAGTGCTAGATTCATTCTCTGATCTTTTGATTGCGTGGACATGTCAGTTCTTGCTGCAAGAGCTCTAATAGGTTGGAGGACGTCCTCTGGAAGTTGTCATAATTACTGTGTAAGTCTATGGAAGGGGTTGAGAACCATGAGCCTCCTAGGTTTTGTATGGAAGTCAATGTACCCAGAGGAAGACAGAAGCTAGCTGTCCTCTGGCTACACCATGGTGCTAACATACAGAGTGCTGCTGAGGCTACTGTAGACCTACATTGCAAAACAGTGTGTTTTAATCAATTATTTGGTGACGTGAATATATTTAGTATAGTTTTATTTAAAACTTTTTAATGTTTCACTATTAAAAAAAAAAATGAAATTCACTGAGGAGAATGTTCCTCCCCTTCCTCCTCTGAGGAGCCTCCACAGATTGACTGTCCAGGAACCCTCATTCTATAATCTAAATTGTTCTCTTCCACTGCACTTATTTCCATTGATTATTTGAGTCAATCTATGTTTTTGTCTTAAAATAAATTATATACACAAAAATGTGAATCATAACAAAACAGGGAAACTAACATTGTAAATGCATCATAATGCAAACTCCATAGAGATTTTTTTGGCTCGGTTTCTGTATAATCACTTTGTGACAACTGCTGATGTAAAAAGGGCTTTATAAATAATGTGACACAAGCCTACCAGACGAGCTAAACCACTTCTATGCTCGCTTCGAGGCAAGCAACACTGAAGCATGCATGAGAGCACCAGCTGTTCCGGATGACTATGTGATCACGCTCTCCGTAGCCGATGTGAGTAAGACTTTTAAGCAGGTCAACATTCACAAGGCCGCAGGGCCAGACGGATTACCAGGACGTGTACTCCGAGCATGTGCTGACCAACTGGCAAGTGTCTTCACTGACATTTTCAACATGTCCCTGACTGAGTCTGTAATACCAACATGTTTCAAGCAGACCACCATAGTCCCCGTGCCCAAGGACTCTAAGATAACCTGCCTAAATGACTACCGACCCGTAGCACTGACGTCTGTAGCCATGAAGTGCTTTGAAAGGCTGGTCATGGCTCACATCAACAGCATTATCCCAAAACCCTAGACCCACTCCAATTTGCATACCGCCCCAACAGATCCACAGATGATGCAATCTCTATTGCACTCCACACTGCCCTTTCCCACTTGGACAAGAGGAACACCTACGTGAGAATGCTATTCATTGACTACAGCTCAGCATTCAACACCATAGTGCCCTCTAAGCTCATCACTAAGCTAAGGATCCTGGGACTAAACACCTCCCTCTGCAACTGGATCCTGGACTTCCTGACGGGCCGCCCCCAGGTGGTAAGGGTAGGTAACAACACATCTGCCACACAGATCCTCAACACGGGGGCCCCTCAGGGGTGCGTGCTCAGTCCCCTCCTGTACTCTCTGTTCACCCATGACTGCATGGCCAGGTACGACTCCAACACCATCATTAAGTTTGCCGACGACACAACAGTGGTAGGCCTGATCACCGACAACGATGAGACAGCCTATAGGGAGGAGGTCAGAGACCTGGCCGTGTGGTGCCAGGACAACAACCTCTCCCTCAACGTGACCAAGACAAAGGAGATGATTGTGGACTACAGGAAAAAAAAGAGGACTGAGCACGCCCCCATTCTCATCGACGGGGCTGTAGTGGAACAGGTTGAGAGCTTCAAGTTCCTTGGTGTCCACATCACCAACGAACTATCATGGTCCAAACACACCAAGACAGTCGTGAAGAGGGCACGACAAAGCCTATTCCCCCTCAGGAGACTGAAAAGATGTGGCATTGGTCCTCAAATCCTCAAAAAATTCTACAGCTGCACCATCGAGAGCATCCTGACTGGTTGCATCACCGCCTGGTATGGCAACTGCTTGGCCTCCGACCGCAAGGCACTACAGAGGGTAGTGCGTACGGCCCAGTACATCACTGGGGCCAAGCTTCCTGCCATCCAGGACCTCTATACCAGGCGGTGTCAGAGGAAGGCCCTCAAAATTGTCAAAGACTCCAGCCACCCTAGTCATAGACTGTTCTCCCTGCTACCGCACGGCAAGCGGTACCGGAGTGCCAAGTCTAGGTCCAAAAGACTTCTCAACAGCTTCTACCCCCAAGCCATAAGACTCCTGAACAGCTAATCATGGCTACCCAGACTATTTGCACTGCCCCCCCACCCCATCCTTTTTGCGCTGCTGCTACTCTGTTAATATTTATGCATAGTCACTTTAACTCTACCACATGTACATATTACTTCAACTATCTCAACTAGCCGGTGCCCCGCACATTGACTTGCACCGGTACCCCCCTGTATATATAGCCTCCCTACTGTTATTTTATTTTACTTCTGCTCTTTTTTTCTCAACACTTTTTTTGTTGTTGTTTTATTTTTACTTTTAAAATAAATGCACTGTTGGTTAAGGGCTGGAAGTAAGTATTTCACTGTAATGTCTGCACCTGTTGTATTCGGCGCATGTGACCAATACAATTTGATTTGATTTGATTGATTCAGATAGAACCCTCAATGTCCAAACTCTAGAATCTTGGGCATCTCTCAAAAATCTCATCTAACATGTCAAAGCAAGGTGAAACTACCATGTTAGGACATGGGTTTACTTTGATTATGGATCTTGCATGGGAAGAAACACTGCATGGAATATTCACCATTTAAAAACTTTTGATAAGCTTATCATTTATTTTGTTGTGGCATCTATGGACTCAGAAGATATGAAAACCCCAAAATATATTGGGAAAGTTTAGGTAGGACCTCTTGAAGGACTTTTTGGGTAGGATCTATTTTGAAGCCTACTGACCATGACCCAGGTCCCACCTGTCCAGATAAAGGCCTAATATCTCTGTGTCTTGTACCACCAGTTTCGGCTACATGTTCAGCCGGCTGTCCCAGGGCTTTACCAACGTCCTGCAGGAGCTCTCTGGGGACGAGCCCCCCGATGGAGCCCCTCAGGTAAGAGAGCCTCCCTCAACCCCTCACAAGCTTACATAACATGGCACATGTTTTGTGTCCTGGGCCCATATTTATAAATTGTCTCAGAGTAGTAGTGCTGAACTAGGATTAGGTCCTTTCTGTCCATAATAATCAATCCATTGTGATCTAAAAGGCAAAACTGATCCTAGATCAGCACTCTAACACATGGTTTCCCAAACTCGGTCCTGGGGCCCCACCTGGCTGCATGTTTTGGTTTTTGCTCTAGCACTACACAGCTGATTCAAATAACCAACTCATCATCAAGCTTTGATTATTTGAATCAGCTGTGTAGTGCTAGGGTAAAAACCAAAACATGCACCCAGGGGCGGCCCCAGGACCGAGTTTGGGGAACCCTGCTCTAACGGATCTCCTTTGGAGGCCTTAATGTTCTCCAAGTCGGTATATTTTTATCCACTTCTCTTCTCTGTGGCCCTGGTGCAGGATATGTTGGTCCCCCAGCTCCCCCCTGGAGATGCCCCCTGGGCCTCTGAGGAGTCTGGGCCTGGGGTGGAGGAGGAGCCCCTGGAGAGGCTGGCCCATCTGGAGCAGCTGACGGTGCATCTCAAGGAGGTGGTCAGAGATAAGGACAGCCAGCTGGCCACCTTCGAAACGCAGCTCAAGGTGAGGCCTGGGTACGGGTGGGTGCGTGTGCCTTTGGTTTTGTGGGCCTGCATGTGTTGCTTTGACTTTGTATGTGTGTGTGTGTGAGACATGAGTGCAGTGGTTTTATATGAATGTGCCCTCAATGCATAGCTTAGATTTTTTTTCTGTCCTGTGTGAGTTGGGTTCATGAAATATTCATATTTGATGCACTACTTGTCAAATAAAGATTGTGGTCAGAAATATACTGAGATTATGCTGTTGTTGCTGGAACGTGAGTTTCAATGCTGTGTTTGTTGGTGTTTACAGAGCGAAAGGGAGACGGCGGATGCCCGCTTCACTAAACTGAAGCTGCAGGCCAAAGCCAAGATGGCTGCTCTGACCAAACAAATTGCTGACCTCAAGGGGCAGGAGGGAGCAACAGTAAGTCCTTTAGCTGAGTTCAAATTATTCCACATTCAATAAGCATGGTTCTGATGTGTATTTTAGCTGTTATGTATAGAGTCAAATGATGTAGATTTTTTACAGGCAGGTTGGTCTTTGCTAGGCTGTTTTGTCTCATCAATAACATTTTGAAATCCTTGTGTCTATTTCTTAAAGAGCTCTCCAGACAGCTCCTTCACCAGCTCAGCTCCTGCTGTGGAGGAGGAACTCCAGGAGCTGAGGAGCAAGCTCCGTGATGTAGAGACCTCGGCTAAGAACCTTGAGGAGCGCCTCCAGATGTCCGAACAGGCCCTGTGTGAAAAGGAAGCCGCACACATGGAGCAGGTGCCAATTTTGTTGTTACTCTAACCATTTTCAATGATTGCATTGTATAGAAAAAGGGCCCTTTAGCTGACTGCAGAGATGTCATGCTTTTAGGTTTGTGTGCTCCAGGCGGTTGTCTGTGAAAAGGACGAACGTTTCCAGGAGCAGATCCAGAAGCATGAGGACGAGCTGCTGAGGGTCACAGTGCAGAGGCAGAACGACACTGAGCTGGTACAAACTTCATTCTCTGACTCACTTTAGTACAATCATTCATACAGGCCAGGTCCTATACACTGTTTTTAGCCTGTACCCAAGCCCTTAGTGTGTGTCTTGCTAGGCTCTACGTGCAGCCCAGCGGCGTTGTGAGGAGCAGGAGGAGGCCATGCGGTCACGCTCCCAGGTGCTGGAGATGCTGCAGGGGGAGCTGAACAATGCCGACCAGCAGAAACAGGTACAGACACGCTCTACTGTGCTGGTCAGTTTATAGCCATAGTGGGAATGGTGTTTTCACAATGAAGGTCCCACAGAGAGTACTGTATAACATTATTCGCCAAGTTACTAGAGTGACAGCAGAGTGACACTGACTCTGAGTCTGTATGTTTGGTGATTGACAAATTGCATGTTACATAAGGGCTGAGGGGCAAATGCATTTCTCATCTAAATGGAAAGTCACTGCTTGACTGACACAGCCAAGCAGTTCTCGTTGTAGACCCTACCGTCCCCGTCCTTCATCTGTCTTCATTCTCTCTCTCTTGCTCTCCCTCTCTCTGCAGATACTCACGGCTCAGTTCCGCCAGATGGAGCAGGAGCTGGCTGAGGCTGGCAGGCTGAGGGAGGAGGAGAGGCAGCAGTGGGCTGGGTGGTCCAGCCAGGCCGAGGCAGAGCTGGTGGCCCTCCGAGCTAACCTGGAAGCCTCCGAGCGGGACAGAGCAGCCCAGCTAGCCAGTCTGGAGGCTTCAGAGAAAGACAGAGCAGCCCAGATTGAGGAGCTAACAGTGAAACTGGAGTGGGCCACTAGAGAGCGGGAGGAGGTGACCAACAGAGAAGTAGCCAGGTTGGAGAAGGAGCTTGCTGCCTTAAGAGAGGAGCATGGAGAGGAGCAAAGGGCAGGAGAGGCCCTGGCTGAGTTGTTGACAGGCCTGCGCTCTCTGGCTGGAGAGGGGGCAGAGGAGGAGACCGACCCGGCCCTGTGCCTGGGTACCCTGCAGGCCCGGCTGGAGAGGCTGAGGGTGGAGCAGAGGGAGAGCGAGGAACGCTGTGTCCAGGTCACCCACACCATGGAGACTCTGCAAGGTAAGAAAACCAAATACACAATCAAGCAAGTTTCTTTGTTATGTTTTTAAATCTAAGGCATTCATGGTACCCTAACAAGCGGCTTGCTTACAGCGTATTTAATAATTGTGTTGTTTTTCTTTCAGAACAACTGGATAAGAGCACCGCAGAAGGTGAAGAGGCAGTTGCCAGGATACAACAGCTGGAGCAGCAGATTGGAATGGTGAGCAGTCAGACGCACTAAATGAAGTTAGGGGATTGTTACGACTACTAAATTAATTAAGGTAGCATATGTTGCAAGCTTGTTTTGAATCGTGTAATAACCTGAAAATAAACATCAAAATGTACTCTTGGAGAAATAGCTCGTATGGTTTATTATCTGTGAACCCCAAATTACCATATTCTTCAGTCTGTTGTACCGATTGCTAGATTCTCTGTTTGTCTATTTCTGTCATTTGACCAAATGGTGGACTTATTCACACTAACAGGACATTAAATCAGCAGAATAAGCTGCAGTACTATGGGCTCATTTTAACCTGTGTAAAAGACAGAGCTGTGGCTCTATTACAAGGCTCGTTATTTGAAAAGCTATGCAATGCCAAAAAAACAATGAACAATGAACCAAGACTTCTGCTAATATATGGCATCTATTTATGTCAAATGTTTGCACACAAACAGTGAAATTACAGTGCCTTCAGAAAGTATTCATACCCCTTGACATATTCCACATTTTGTTACAGCCTGAAAGTCGAAATTGATTAAATAGATTTTTCTCTCTCACCCATCTACACACAATACCCGATAATGACAAAGTGAAAACATGTTTTTAGAAATGTTAGTAAATGTATTGAAAATTTGATACAGAAATATCTAATTTGGACAAGTATTCACACCCCTGAGTCAATACAGTTAGAATCACCTTTGGCAGCGATTACAGCAATGAGGCTTTGTGGGTAGCGATTACAGCAATTAGGCTTTGTGGGTAAGTCTCCAAGAGCTTTGCACACATGGATTGTACAATATTTGCACATTTTTTTATTTTTTTATTCTTCAAGCTCTGTCAAGTTGGTTGTTGATTATTGCTAGATAGCCATTTTCAAGTCTTGCCATATATTTTCAAGACGATGTAAGTCTGTAACTAGGCCACTTAGGAACATTCAATGTCGTCTAGGTGAGCAACTCTAGTGTACAAAACATTAACAACACCTTCCTAATATTGATGCATACAACACCTTCCTAATAGGGATGCTGGCCAATGTTGACTCCAATGCTTCTCACAGTTGTGTCAAGTTGGCTGGATGTCCTTTGGGTGGTGGACCATTCTTGATACACGGGAAACTGTTGACACAACCAGCAGCGTTGCAGTTCTTGACACAAACCGGTGCGCCTGGCACCTACTACCATACCGCATTCAAAGGCACTTAAATATTTTGTCTTGCCCATTCACCCTCTGAATGGCACACATACACAATCCATGTCTCACTTGTCTCAAGGCTTTAAAATCCTTCTTTAACCTGTCTCCTCCTTCATCTACAGTAATTGAAGTGGATTTAACAAGTGACATCAATAAGGGATCATAGCTTTCACTTGGATTCACCTGGTCAGTCTATGTCATGGAAAGCGCAGATGTTCTTAATGTTTTATACATTCAGTGTATATTTGGCATTGTGTTTTAGGTTATTGTCCTGCTGAAAGGTGAATAATAATAATATGCCATTTAGCAGACGCTTTTATCCAAAGCGACTTACAGTCATGTGTGCATACATTTTTACGTATGGGTGGTCCCGGGGATCGAACCCACTACCCTGGCGTTACAAGCGCCATACTCTACCAATTGAGCTACAGAGGACCACAATCCTCCCAGTGTCTGTTGGAAAGCAGACTGAACCAGGTTTTCCTCTAGGATTTTGCCTGTGCTTAGCTCTATTCCATTTATTTTTATCCTAAAAAACTCCCCAGTCCTTGCTGATGACAAGCATACCCATAAGATGATGCAGCTACCACCATGTTTGTAATTAATAACATCACCATGCTCAAAGGGATATTCAATGTCTGCTTTTACATTTTTTACCCATCTTCCAAAAGGTTCCCTTCTTTGCAAGGCATTGGAAAAGCTCCCTGGTCTTTGTAATTGAGTCTGTGTTTGAATTTCAATACTTGACTGAGGGGTAATTGTATGTGTGGGGTACAGAGATGAGGTAATCATTCGAAAATCATGTTAAACACTATTATTGCACACAGAGTGAGTCCATGATAACTTATTATGTGACTTGTTAAGCACATTTTTACTCCTGAACTTATTTAGGCTTGCCATAACAAAGGGGTTGAATACTTATTGACTCAAGACATTTCAGCTCTTCATTTGTAATTAATTAGAAACATTTCTAAAAACATAATTCCACTTTGACATTATGGGGTATTGTGTGTAGGCCAGTGACACAACATTTCAATTTAATCCATTTTAAATTCAGGCTGTAACACAACAAAATGTGGAAAAAGTCAAGGGGTGTGAATACTTTCTGAAGGCAAATGTTGACTGTGCGGAGTCACAATAGAAAGCAACAAACCCTCTATAGACGTTTGTGCTGTATGTGTTTACAGTCTGATACAATATGATCTATTAGTGTACTGTTATTTCGCTGTGCTGTGAGGACTGCCCAGTCAGCACATTGAGTGTCACACATGCTTATTCATGTGGGGAAGTCTCACTGGTCTCTGCCCTGACTACTGGGGCAGGTCAGTCGGCAACGATCTCAGAGGGGACAGCCTGAGGGACAGAGACAGTTGTTGGGGTTAATAATGCTGAGGCAGAATGTCCTCCTGTCGTTTGGGTCAAGGAAATGCTAATCGCCTCTCCACTGATCCTCTGTTATGACTGCAGCCCTGGGCTGACCTTCACACACTGGGCCATCATAACTACAGTGTAACTATTGTGTAACTACATTACAGCTGTGTGAAACTGGATTTATGAGTTATTAAGTCATAAAGTTTACACCCTATGTGTGTTCAGAAATAACTCAGGCGTTTGCCTTGCTCTCCTAGGCTGCTAGTGAGTCATTGGTCCAGTATGTGACTGACCCATCTGTGGAAAAAGTGTCTGATGCTGAAAAAGGTAAGGAGACCTATTTTTTGTGTGTATTTTTATTTTTTGAATCTGAAAGCCAACCACCAGGACTTTGACCAGTCATACATCCTGCTAGCAGCGCACACACCCTCTATTGATGTTTGCATAGGCTTGGACACTGTGTGCTGTCACAGGCCCCGCTGACAACAGAGTCCGGCATAGTGACGCAAATGCGGTTACAGGCCTTACCCATTTTACACAGTCTGTGACTAAACCTAAAAGACTGGTGGTTTAGTAGACAGAGTATGTCAACAGTATTGACGGTATGTCAACAGTGTTGATGGTATGTCAACAGTGTTGACGGTGTGTCAACAGTGTTGACGGTGTGTCAACAGTATGTCAATAATCATCTAAATTGTTGAATTGTTAACATTTAAAGTAAAAAGATTAAAGAATCTATAATATATAGTCCTAGTCATGAACTACTGGGAGGTGCCACTTGTAGACCTATTAAATTAGAATAATAGGAGAGATAAGTGGTAGGAGCTAATTTTAGGAAGCTTTATTTAAGTTCCTGCACGGGTTACATGAAACATCTGTTTTGTTTTGGCATTTCAGCTATGATCAATTAATTGTGTATTGTGAGATAATTAGGCTGACTATTCATTTGAATCTTTATTGATTTCCCCAGCCCAAGTATTGGCTCTGGAGCAGCAGCTATTGGAGAAAGACAATGAATTGGCTGCCCTGCGAGACCGTCTTGCACTGGCTGAAGAGCAGGGCTCCAGTGATGCATTAAAGGTATGCGCTGATCAGATTCTAAACCAGAGTGAGGACACCGCCATGGCCCCCTGCGACAGTCCTAAAGTGCTGCCAGACCTCCTAGAAGACACGCAAGAGGAGGGCACCACCCTGGTGGCAGAGGATAGCTCAATCCTGTCAGTCTCCGCTGATAACGAGAGCAGTCCAGAGCTCATTGAACCCCAGTCTGACTCTCCCGGAGAATCTAAGGGGGCCTCCTCTGATGAGATGGTCACTAGCAGTGACTCCGAGGTGGCCCACAGCAGCTGGACCCTCCTAGAGGCTGTGAACCAAGATGAAGGTCAGCAGTCGCCTCCCATACTGCAGGACTTTGGCCAGCTCCAGCTGCAATCCTGGGAAGAGAACAGCTCTGAGCAGGAAACATCCACAGTCCAGGTGGAGTCCTCATCGGTCATCATCCGTGAGACTGTGCAGGTGCACCTCAGCCAGCAGGAGGCGACCCTCTTTGACTCTGACTCTGCCCCTGGACAGGTGTTTGCCCAGGCCCTGGCAGATGATCTGCAGAACAGGTACAGTGAGCTCATGGCTGAGCTCCAGAGACTGAGAGAGGCTGCCTTAGAGTCACAGGAGAGAACCCAAGGCCTGGAGGAAGAGATTCGGTCCCTGGCAGCTGCCAAGGATGAGGCAGAGTCCCGGGCCCAGAGATATGAGGAAGAGCTCCAGTCAGCCAGGTCAGAGATGGACACGGTGGCCAAGCACAGTGGCTCTGAGTTGGAAAGGCAGAGCATGGAGATGCATCTCCTGGAGGAGCAGCTGGCCAGCCTGCAGACAGAAGGCCGCTCCAAAGAGCAGAAGATCCAGGCCCTGCAGGCAGACCTGGGCGAGGCTCAGCACTCTCTCTCTGAGCAGGAGGGCCAGGCCAGGATGCTGAGCGCCCAGCTGGAAGAAGGGGAGATCACCTCCTCTGAGCTGGAGCAGAAGCTCCAAGACATGGAGGCCAGCCTGCTGGAGTTCTCCCAGGCTAGGGACATGGCCAAAGCTGTACTGTCTGAGAGGGACACTGAGATTAACGAGCTGCAACTGCGCATCACCCAGAAAGAGCAGGAGATGATGGAGCTGAGCAACGGCATGTCTGCCAAACTGCTCCAGGCAGGTGAGGAGAAGTTCCTGGTGAGCACTGAGATCAAGAAACTGAAGGAGCAGATAATTGAGCTTGAGAAAGCTGGAGAAAAGGAGAAGGCGACAGGGGAGAGTCATTTAGAGGATGTTGATGAGCTCGCTAGTTTGCGAAAGGACAAAGAGGATCTGACAACCCAAGTGGCCACCATTAAAAAGAGGTTGCAGGCAGCCCTGGTGCAGCGCAAAGAGCTGATGACAAAGGTTGCGGAGTTTGAGAAAGAGGCAGATCAAAGGAAAGGGCAAGTAGGGAAAGCAACGGAGGAAGCCCCTGCAAGTGTACCAGCTTTAGAAAAAGACAGAAAACAAGAGGTTATGGCAATTGAGATTACTCTTGAAGAGTTCAGACAAGCCTTGAGGTCCAAAGAAGAGACAATGGAGGTTCTGCAAGAGACACTTGAAATTAACAGAAGGCTGAGTGAGGGAGCTGAGCAGACTCCAGAGGCAGGCACCTCAGCTGAAATCACTGGGTTGCAGTCCCAGGTGGCCTCACTGGAGTCAGATTGCGAAACACTGCAAAAGAAACTCCAGGAGGCCCAGGACTCTCGCAAAGACACCATCCGCAAGGCCAAAGAAAAGGACAGGCACCACCGTGAACAGCTAAAGCAGCAAAAGGAAGAGTACAACGGGCTGTTGGAGCATTTGGAGGAGCAGACCGGTGAGCGAGATGGGCTGTTGACTAAACTGAGAGAGCTCGAGGAACTACAGGCACAGAAAGAGGTGAGCACAGTGAAGAGGGGTACATACAGAGCTGGAGACCAACACTGCAGCGGAGAAGATGGAGAAGCCAGCTGCAGGAGATTGGGTCCAGGAAGACTGGGTGGACTTTGCCGCACCTGAGAATGAAGCACAACAACAACAAGGTGATAAACCCATTCCCAGTGCTGAGGAACCCTCTCAGCTACTTTCAGCTGTCATTGAGGCCTCATTACAAGCTCTGAAAGAAGAGGTCCAGGCTGAGAAGGCATCGCGTACAGAGTTGGAGGGCCAACTGCAGGAGAGCCAGGCTAGCCTGTCACTCAGGGAAAGTGAGCTCCTAGAGCTGGGCAAAGAGCAACAGGCCCTGAGAGAGAAGGAGAGACAGATTGAACATGTCTATGAGGAGTTGGAGGCTCTGAGGGAGAAGTGTCTCCAGGCTCAGACCTATGCAGAAGCTGTGAAAGCAGAGTTTGGAGGCTGCTGTCAAGGGAACTGCCTCAGACTCTGCTGAGTCCACCATTGCCATCCTGCAGACAGAGGTGGAGGAATTCAAGCAGTTCCTGAGCAACAAGAATGATGAGATCATGGAGCTTAGCCAGCAGCTGGGTGAGCAAAGCTCCCTCCTACAGTCCATGCAAGAGACGGTGTCTGAGAAAGACCAGTCGAATCGCCTCTCTGCAGGAAGGCCTGAGAGCAGAGCAGGAAAAGAGCCAGAGACTGGAGGCTGAGGTCCTCCAGAGGCAGGAGGAAGAGAAAGGCAGCGAGGCCAAGATCCTGCAGCTTCAGCAGAAGCTCAAGGCCGCCCTTATCTCCCGCAAAGAGGCCCTCAAAGAGAACAAAAGCCAGAAAGAGGAGTTGGCCTCCACTGAGAAAGTCATCACTGAACTGCAGCAGAAGATGGAGGCTAGAGAAGTCGAGCTGGAGAAGCTGAGAGCAGAAAGAGAGAGGCTGATAGAGGAGGTTGATCGGACCTTGGTGGAGAACCAGAGCCTTGGGGGGTCCTGTGAGAGCCTCAAGCTGGCCATGGAGGGTATGCTGACAGAGAAAGACTTCTGTAAAAGAGAGGCCGAGTCTGCCAAAGAGGAGGCTGCCCGGGCATGCAGAGAATGGGAGGAGAAGGTGCAGGGGATGAAGGATGAGTATGAGACTCTGCTGAAGTCCTATGAGAACGTGAGTGATGAGGCAGAGCGTGTGAGGCGTGTGCTGGAAGCTGCTAGGCAGGAGAGGAAGGAGCTTGTTGCTAGAGCCAGGACCCACGAGACAGCCAGGCAGGAGGCTGAACGGCAGAAAGAAGTGGCCCAGAAAGAGGTGGACACTGTGAAAGACAAGATGAGGAAGTTTGCCAAGACCAAGCAGCAGAAAATAATGGATTTAGAGGAGGAGAATGAGAGACTCCGAGAGATGGAGGAAAAGAAAGGAATAAGAAGGGAAGACAAGGCACTCAAAGGAGAACTTGAAAGACTCAAAGAGGAGCTTGAGGCTCTGAAAGCTGATTTGAATGCCACTACGGCACAGAGGGACTCCTTAGAACAGCAGGCTGTTGAGTTGAGGGCGCAACTATCCCAACAGCTAGAGAAAGGGGACAGATTAGCTCCAGATAAAACCCCCAGCTCTGATGATGTAGTGGACGAGGCTATTGTTGCCCAGCAGTCTAGTACAGCCATGCCTGAAACTACCCAAGAGCCAGTTAAGAGCCAGCCTCAGGACATAGAGCCACATAGTCAGGCCATGGAGTCTGAGATGGCTGCACCTGAAATGCCCTCTTTTGAGGAGACGCTGAAGACCGAAACAACTGAAAGGACACAGGTCCTAATTGAGGAGAAATTGAGCAAAATGGAGGCAGCCCTACAGTCAGAGAGGGAACTGAGGCAAGAGCGCGAGGCTGAACTCACTGCTGAGCTGGCCTCTCTGGAGCAGCGCCTTCAGGAGAGTAGAGAGAAGGAACAGACCCAGAGGGAGGAGCCAGTGAAGACGGACATGTCTGAAAGTGAACAGGCCGTAATTGAGGAAAAACTGAGGGAAATGGAGGCAGCCCTACAGTCAGAGAGGGAACAGTGGCAAGAGCGTGAGGCTGAACTCAACGCTGGACTAGCCTCTCTGGAGCAGCGCCTTCAGGAGAGTAAAGAGAAGGAACAGAGCCTGATGGAGGAGAGCTCTAAAAGGGAAGCCCAGCTCAAGGAGCTCCACAGCAGCCTGGAGGTAGAGAAGGACGACCTAGAGGAGCGTCTGATGAACCAGCTGGCCCAGCTGAATGGCAGCATCGCCGGCTACCAGCAGGACGCGGCAGACAGCCGGGAGCGCCTTGCGGAGCTGCAGCGGGAGGTGGAGAGACTGGAGAGGGAGCGGGCCGAACTGGAAGCCCTGGCCGAGAGCGAGAAGGACCGGGCCGCCAGGCTGGAGGAGGACAAGAGGCAGGCCCAGAGAGAGAGGGCCGAGGCAGAGGCCGAGTCAGGGAAGCAGAGAGAGCTGGAGCAGCAGCTGAAGTCTGCCCAGAGGGTGAAAGAGGGCAGCCAGAGCCGGGCAAAGCAGCTGGAGGAGCTGCTGAGAGAGAAGCAGCTGGAGGTGCGCCAGATGCAGAAGGACTGCATCCAGTACCAGGAAAGGATCAGTGAGATGGCCAGGGAGGGAAAGGCTCTGCAACTGGGCAGCAACGAGGTCCACAAAGAGCTGGGGCAAGCCTATCTGGAGAGGACCAAAGTCACAGACGCTTTGAAGAAGACTGAGGCTGAGCTATCTAGCTGCAAAGCCCAGCTGGTTGAGGCCCAGACAGAGGCCATCCAGGTCCAAGTTCAGAAGAGAGCCTGTGAGCAGACCGCTCTACAGAGAGAGGCTGAGTTGAAAGCAGAGGCAGAGCAGAGTCTGGACTCTGTGAGGTTCAGGCTGGGAGCCGAGCTGAAGCAGATTGAGCTGAGATTGGAGGAGTCTTACCGGGAGAGGGAGAGAGAGGAGGATGCCACCCGTGAGGCAAGAGAGCTGGCTGACACCGCTGAGAGACAGGCCCAGCAGATGCAGGCCCGCCTGGATGAGTCTCTGGCCCGACTGGCTGCCTTCTCGCGCTGTATGTCCTCCCTGCAGGACGACAGGGACCGCGTGCTGGATGAGACCCGGCAGTGGGAGAGTCGCTTCAACAGCACCCTCCAGGGGAAGGAGGCCGAGGTGCGGGAGGGAGAGACCCGGTCCAGAGATCTGGCTGAACAGCTGCAGAAAGAGACCGCTCGGAGAGAAGAGCTACAGCTTACAGTGGAACAGGTACAAATGGCTACTGTTCCTGACAAAGTTTATTACATTTTGTATCATTATTTTAATTAAATTGCCCCAATTTCCTGCTAGGTTTGTGATACACTATACTGCGTTATGTAATGTTTTTTAAAATAATTTGTTTGTCCAGACTGCAGAAAGCAGACGAGCAGTGGCAGCTGAAATGGGAGCAGGAAGAGAAGACGCTCCGTGAGAACCAGGCTGCCCTGGAGCAGGAGAGGGGGGAGCTTCAGAAGTCCCTAGCCCAGACCGAGACCTCCCTGGCTGAGGCTCGCGCCCAGCTGGCCTCCCTGGAGAGCGAGGCGGAGGGGCTCCGCCACAGAGCCCAAGCCCTGGAAGAGGCAGTTGGGAAGCTGCAGGGAGAGACCAACGAGGCCAGGTCCCAGCTGAAGGAGAGGGAAGCAGAGGAGAGGAGGCTGGGCCTGAGCGTGGAACAACTGGAGACAGACCTGCGCTCCTCCAAGACCCTGACAGAGACCCTGCAGACAGATCTGAGTGAGAAGGAAAGGAGAGAGGTGGAGCTGCTGGGGGAGAAGGAGCAAGCCGTGACACAGGTATTCATCACTATTGTTTTCTCTCTGCTTTATGTCATGTTTTGTGATCACAATGAATAGTTGCTAATTTTAATGCGTACAGTGTCAAATTCTACATTTATTCAAATAGGGTGTCAAAATTCCCTACAGACTCTTTGAGACGTTACCATTTTGATTGAGCTATCAAGTTGTTTTACCAGCTTGAAAATGTTTAAACCCATTCCCCTACATCCTCTTGACTGTTTACATGCTTGCTCCCCCCAGGCTGCAGAGGAGGCCAGGATGGAGGCTGACGCCAGGGCCCAGGAGGCTGAGAAGGAGCTGGAGGAGAGGAGAGAGGAGGTGCGAGGTCTGGAGGACCGGCTGCGAAAGGCAGAGGAGGAGAGGAGCCACAGCAAAGCCAGGCTGGACGCCTTCACCAAGGCCATGGGCTCTTTACAGGACGACAGAGACCGAGTACTCGGCATGTACAAACAGCTGGAGGAGAAACATCTGCAGGTAAAAGAACAATAACACTTATGGATAGAGTAATCCTCATTTAAAGGGATTCTAATTCAAGAGCTTTTTTCATGTGTACAGAGGCATAAATGGCAGGTCAACAAGACATTCTGAATGGATTCTCCTACACTTAATGTAAACCGGTAGTATATGGTTCCATGTTTATTTATGTACACATGTCATCGAAACTGAATGTAGCGATAAGAGTGATATTATTAGTGTGATAGTATTCTAGAATGTCTTCCTCATGCCCCAGTTGTATAACCCATCCCTCTACATAATGTGTCTGTGTTGTCCCAGGTGATGATGGAAAAGGACGCTCTGATCCAGGAGGCTGCTACGGAGAATAACAGTCTGAAGGAGGAGCTGCGCTCCCTATTGGTCCAGAAGGATGACCTCCACGCAGAGAAGGCGAAGCTATCTGCCCAGCTTCACGGCTACAGGGACGACCTTACCCAGGTCCTCACCATGAAGGAGTCCCAGCACAAGCAGCTCTTGTCCGGCCAACTGGAGCGCATCGCTACCCTTGGAGAAGGAGAGAGAAGAGCTAGGGGCTAAGATCAAGAGCCTGGAGGGAGGGGAGGCTTTCGTTCAGGCGGTGGAGAGGGAGACCCTCAGCCAGGCTGGTGATAGTGGAAACAGGCAGGTTAGAGATGCTCCCGGGGTGGAGGTAGAGAAGCTGAGGGAGCAGCTGCAGGCTGCCAGGGCCCAGGTGGAGAGCCTGGAGGAGAGCCTTGCCAAGGAAAGAGAGGAACAGGAGGCTCGGCAGAAGGAGCTGAAAGAACTGCGTTGGGAGGGAGGGGTGACGCGCACAGAGTCGGAGACAGCGGCTGAGAGGGTGGCTGAGCTGGCCCGGGACCTACTGACCATGGAGCAGAGGCTGCTGGAGGAGAGGGAGGTGGCCGGCCAGCTCCAGGCCCAGAACCAGGCATTTGGCCAGGCCATGGCGTCGCTGCAGGGCAGTAGGGACCAGGCCCTCAGCCAGGCCCAGGAGCTCAGCCTCAGACTGGAGGAGATGAGCAGGGTAGGGGGCCAGCAGACACCCACCACGGGCCCTGGAGGATCCACTGCGGAGGTGTGGGGACTGAAGAACGCCCTGTCAGCCCTGCAGAACGACAGGGAGAGACTGGTAATCAACCAGAGTTATCTCCATTTTACACAAAGTATTCCATAAAAGCACTACTAACACAACCAAAATGGTAGTCACATTATAGCTTACCTGCACATAGTGTTTTCATATACCAGTATCCACAGTAACACAAGCTTTGTTTCTCCCTGTCCTGTAGTTGGAACAGCTGCAGCGGCAGCACTCAGAGCTCACTCGACTGGGAGGAGGAGAGCTGTCTAGACTCAGCCAGGAGCTAGAGGAGGAGAGGAGGAGGGCTGAGGAGATGGTGCACAGGATGAGGGAACTAGACAACCTGAGACAGAGGGAGAAGCAGGAATTAGAAATGCTCAGGTGAGACACTTCATACACAAACAGTCACATCATCAAAATTACACAGAGCTGCTTATGTTATTTAAAATGCAAACAATCTTAATCATGTTTAGATGTATATGAGTGTGTATGCATTGGCTACATAGGTATATCTGTCTGTGGCTTCCTCTCTGAGTGTGTGTTTTCTCTCTCTAGGCTGGAGCAGGTTGACTGGCAGGCCCAGGCAGAGCTCCTGAAGCAGCAGACCCTGGCCACCCTCTCAGACCGTGACCAGCAGGTGCGCCAGCTCGGTGCCATGTTGGAGGAGGCCCAAACCACCAGGCCCAAACCACTGGAGGAACACTACCAGAGAGAGGTGAGGAGGAGGACACCTCTAAATCTGCAACTGATAACTACTGTACTTGGACCAGGGATTAGTGAGATGGCCGACGTAATCTACTTTTTTATTTTATTTAACCTTTATTTAACTAGGCAAGTCGGTTAAGAACAAATTCTTATTTACAATGACGGCCTACCCCGGCCAAACCCGGACGACGCTGGGCCAATTGTGCGCCGCCCTATGGGACACCCAATCACGGCCGGATTGTGATACAGCCTGGAATCGAACCAGGGTCTGTAGTGACGCCTCTAGCACTGAGATGCAGTGCCTTAGACCGCTGCGCCACTCGGGAGCCTACTGCTGTTAATGTTCAAATCAAATTGTATAAGTCACGTGCAGAGTTTACAGCGGGTATAAAAGGTGCAGTGAAATACTTGTGCGCTAGCTCCCTCAACATTGCAGTACAATATCAATAATAATCAAAAGTCTATCAAAATAACAAGTAATTAAAGGAAGGTAGTATGTGTAGTAATAAAATTGCTGTTTTCACAATAGGATATACAGTATAAATGATGAATGTGCTATGTCAAGTATGACTGTGGTACAAATATAAAGTGGATAGTGTCTTGGTCGCGCAGTTCAATATACAAAATAACAGCAGTGTTGACTGTGGCAAGTTGCATTCTGCTGGCTACGTACACTTGGCCTCTACTGGACAATGTTATCTACAAATCTAGGTTTAGGTTAAACATTTGTGCAGTTAAGAGATGTATTTGAATGTTAATGGTGTGATTATTTTTCACCTCTGTTCTTCTCCATGGCTATTTATGTATTCTTTGTTTGTTGTTTTTTGTACTCAGGCACCTCTTGGGGCAGACCTGTCATCTAAAGTAGGGGTCCTTCAATCAGAAAGTGGCCCGCTGAATGATCTTCAGCTGCGAGAGCAGCAGATTACAGAGCTCAGTAACAAGGTATAGAGACCACAGACTGTTCCTCCTTCCTGTCACCCATAGCCTCTTGTCCATGTCTAACAACCCTACCTACAATCATTCTGTTTTACTACTACGCTATCTCACAACTATCACTGATCACCCTCTCTGACTTACAATACTAAATTACATGGTTGGATGAAAGATACTTAATTGCATGATTATGGATTGGATGATTACGTTTTTCATCTGTGTGTCTCCCTCTGGCTCTTTCCTCTTCATTTAATTTCCCTTGCATGCCCCTTTTCCATTTTCTTTCATCATTTCTTCTCTGCTTTTTGTTCGTTCTTTTGGTTTGGTGTGTGTGTGTGTGTGTGTACAGTCTGCTGAGCCCCTTGCTGTCCCTCCCTCCCCTCAGCTCTCGCAGGTGTTTGAGGAGAATCGCCACCTCTCCTCCCAGTTCCAAGGCAGTTCGCAGAGGCTGGACGAGGCAGAGAGCCGCTGCACTGCCCTCCAGAGGCAGCTCCAGGAACTGCACGAAGACAAGCGCAAGGTCAGCACGCCCTTGGATATCACTCTGCTCTGACTCATGCACTGTCCCTAGTTGATACATACTGAACATATGTTTTTAAAGATAATGTTTGCACTACGGCAAAGAGGAACTAGATTTACACATTGACATCTCTGGAGGGATTTAAGACTCTACTATAGTGATTTCTACTATGTTTAGAGATTTTGACTATTTCTTGTGGCACCCAGGAGACCGGGGAAGTGGACAGTGCCCCCGGAGCTCCTCAGCAGCACAGTGGCCCTTCAGAGAGCGAGAGCCTCAGGGCTGACTTCAAGGAGCTCCAGCGCAGGTACCAGTTCTCAACCCCACGACACCGCCCTTTAAAAACACACAACCATACAGTACACACACACATTCTGTCTACCAATGACCAAACCAACATGCAAGCACACAAAACATGAACAATAACAAACAGAACAGACACAATAAACACATTCAACACCACACAGCCCCAGCCCATGATAACGCAAGCTTATATGTCCAACATGCTAATGTGTCCTTTCTTTATGTCTGTCAGACTGGATGAGGAGCAGCAGTATAGGATGGTTGTGGAGGAGCAGCTAATGGCCGCCCAGGACCACCTCAAACTGTAAGGGAGTCATCCTCTGCCTTCCCCTACAGCACTACACTCACTGACACTGTGTGATTCTAATGAGGAATGAGCATGTCAGCTCACTGCTGTGACTGTCAGGCTCTATAGAGATATTCTGCTCTGAGATTTGTAGAGGTACTGTATTGATAATGGGATTATTGGCCTCAAGTAATCGTTTGGCATATTTGTGTTGGAACTTGTCTGAGAGTTTTCTTGTGTGTGTCAGATAGTATTTACTCAGTATCTCTCTCCTCACTCATCTGCTGTAGGATCAACCAGGGTGAATGGCAGTCAGCCCACGAAGGGCAGTTCACTGCTTCTGAGACAGCTGTCCTCATTGAGCCACCAGGAGGCTCTGTCACCCGAGTAAGTACCAACCAACACCCTGTATTTATTTACACAAGATACATTTATAAAGATGAAATGTCCATTCACGATTGCCATGTAAGAATAGTCTTACTACTACTGCCTCTTGTAACTGTCTATACTTCTCTCTGTCTCTCTCTGTCTCTGTCTCCCTCTCTCCCCCCCCCATCAGATTCGGAGCAGCAGTGGGCCAGGCCTGATGAGAATGCTGCGCGTGGCCTTCTGCTCTCGCCAGCGCACACCCCTGCTGGTGTCCCTCTACCTGCTCACCGTGCACGTGCTACTACTGCTCTGCCTGGGGGGTTACGTCTAGGACCCCCCCCACCCCTTAGAGACTGAGAGAGGAGAGAGATGGAGAGATAACGGACATGTGACACAGACCCACCCACCCCCTCTCCAAGACCGATATCATATTACTGTTACATCCAATACTGTAGAATAGGAGAAGACTCGTCACACACACACACACACCACATGCACTTTTGATACAACACAACAACAAAAAACAGAAATGTGTCTTAGCCTATTAGCCAAAGTGAATCATTTTTCGATATACCGGGAGTCAAAAACACCTACTGCCATCATTGATTTGATTCAATATTGAATATGTTACGGTTAGCGTACATGATCAGTCAAATGTTATTGTAGAGGAAATGAGAAGTAGTAGTGCGCTACCTCAGAACTGGTGTTTATTTGACTTCTATAAAGGGAAATGGATATTATGCAGCTTTAAATGTACCCGGGGGAACTAACATGAAATTACACTATACAGTAGATTCACACCGTGTTTAGTTTTTCAGGCAATTTATATTAGTGGTGTTTAGGTGCCTTTAAATTAGGAGAAAAAAGGGTCACTTTATGTCTGGATGGCCTGAGGGTTAGGATCTGTGGATCTGTTCATATCGCTCCCTCTTACTCTCCTGTGTTCTCATGTACAATGGACACCAACTGAAAGGTGTACAAACCGCTATTTCTACATTCCCGCCACAATCTATTTATTTAATTTTTTTCTTCCTTGTTTTTCCTCTTTCATTTTCTCTTTTATTAAAGAGAGAGCACTAGCATTGGCATATTTGACTCCTGTAGTATTTGTATGTACAGTATGTATGTATGTATGTACTGGTTGTGGGTTATCCAATCAGTTCCCCCAATTTATGCCATTGTTGCACAGATGAGGGTTATATTCTATTGATTTTATGGCAGATTCATTTGCCATTCTGGTGTAATGTTGTCCATTCCAGATGAAATCATGTTGGTATTTTTTCTGTGACACTACAAATAATGTCCATCACATCTGGATTCCTATAATTTAGCATTATTTATTGCTTACGCATTCAAACCGCATAATCTACTACAATATATGGTGAACACAATACTGCTAGGAAAAATGACTACTCAACAACCTATTCTGGTTTTCTGTTGTCCCACTTCACATCTTGTAACTCACTTTTCATCTGTTAACTTCTATTGTAAATGACCTTTTACTGTGCTGTATAGATTGAATTTTGATGATGATGATGATTGATAATGATAGGTATTTTTCCGCACAGCCCACTAAGAGGTATAGGGCTAGATTTGTACCAGTTAGTTTCAAAGGGGAAAAGTTAGAACATAATAGGTGAAAAGATAAGACAAATATTGGGTATTACACATGATTTATGACCTTATGAAAATAACTGGTGCAAAGTAAATCGAGTCCGAAGTGTAAAATCTCTGTATGATCAGTGTTGGTTACTCTTGGGCTATTTTTTAAATGAAATATATTGGGGAAACAAATGGATGTTTATTACGGAATACGGATGTATGCTATTTAACTATCATTATCGTTTTTAATACAATTGTGTCCAGCTTTGATACAGTAGCAAGCCAGTAGCTACTTGCATATCATCGGCCACGCGCACTGTTTCCTCTATCATCAGTTTGCGCAACTCTATCCTCGCGCTGGTAGAGACGATAAAATATACATTTGTGACACATTATTACATCAAGGAAAAATTTCTGGCAACGCAAAGGTACGTGTAATTACAATGAAATAATGTTTCTTTGTTTGAATTAAGTATTTATTACCGTGAATTTCTAAACGTCTTTCTTTCAGGAAGTTGCGGATAAGTTCTGTACTGTTCTCATAGGCTATAATTTTTCAAAGTTAATCAACGGAAGGTCTAGCCTACTTGGAAGATATAAATAGTTATGGTGTAAATTATAGCCAGCTTATGTTCAGTTTTATTACTATATTGGGTAAATGCACTTTCAGACAAAATGCAGGTATCAAACAGTTTACTTTAAATAAGCCATATGGTTCCCTTTATCACCGTTATTTTTTTACATTAAATATTTTGTATTACCTTGTTACTAAACCAAAATACCAAAAGCATGTCCCTCAAATGTACATCCTTGAGATATATGCACAAATACCAGACTTTGTATCTGCTGTAACTGACTGCAGTTTGTGTGGTACAATGAGGAACCATCAGGTAACTGCACTTTATTTTATATTTTTATTTTAACCTTTATTTAACTAGGCAAGTCAGTTAAGAACAAATTCTTATTTACAATGACGGCCTACACCGGCCAAACCCGGACGACGCTGGGCCAATTGTGCGTTATATTGACATCAGCCTGGACAGCTGTGCGCAGCTGTAAGATACCCACCACTTCCATGAGGTTACTTTGTGTTTGTTAAACTATTCATGAATAATGATAGTGTTCTTTTATGATGAGAACACTGCAGCTCAGTGCTGCATAAATAACTCAACTTCCTTTTTAGTGACCTCAGCAGAATGAGACCATATACTTGTGGTTAGCTGTCTGTTTTTCCACTGTGACAAAGGGAAAATGTTAAATGCCATGAAGCTTATTTGCAGGTACAGGTGATTTGTTCACAAGGTACACACAAATACAGTGTTCACTAAAGCTGTGTTTCTCAACTTGTTTTTCCCCCAGGGACCAACAAGCTGTGGTCCCTCTTGTGTGCACACAGCACCCATCTGATCCATACTATTCTGTCTATATATACACTATGCTTAGACTTACAGTACAAATCTTCTGTTTTGTTTCTCTTCCTAGATGTGGAAGTCAGTGGTGGGACACAACGTGAGCATAAAGGTGGCTGCAGAGGGGGATGACTGGGAGACCGACCCTGACTTTGAGGTTAGCTACTGGGCTGGAGGGGGGAGGGGGAGGGGGAGGGGGGAGGGGCGGGGGGTCCCCCCTATGGAGCTAGTGTATTTAATAAGGCACACACTTGTCTGTTACTATGTCACTCTCTAATCAATATTTTCTCCCAGTGGAATTAATGTTTTGTTTATGCTTGGTCTGTAACCGCCTCAGTCCTGTTTTCAACGGTACCTTGGTCTTCATACTACAGTTAGGGGATGAGAAGGACTTGGGTTCTGTGTTTCAGAATGATGTGTCAGAACAGGAACAGAGATGGGGTGCCAAGACCATTGAGGGGTCTGGTCGAAAAGAACACATCAGGTAACCATTGAACAGTAACTGTGGGTGGGATGTCAGCCTGAGATGACCAGACCAGAAGTAACACATCAGAGACAGATCATAGTATGATTGGTGTGTTATGCTGTTGGAGAGCTATGGGGGATGGTAATCTCAGCTGTGTATTGCTGCTTTAGCTCTGTAGAAACAGGAAAAGGAAGTGAAAACAGTGTGTAGGCTGTCAAGCAGTGAGTCTTACCAAATATGGGTTGGTGACTGAGTAAATCTAAGGGTTAGCTACAGACTAGTGTAACTATGTAGTCCCGGTGTCAGCAGATAATGTAAAATGGGAATAAAGTTATGCAACAAAGTTCTGATGTATGCGTGCATGTGTGTATGCATGTGTGTACTTCCATGCATGTTTGTGTGTGTGTGTGTGTGTGTGATCCCTGCATCTCCCCAGTGTAGCAGAGCTGAGACAGAAGGTGTCCCAGGAGCATGAGGTGGGGAAGCAGAAGGAGCGGGCAGAGGCTCCCAAGGCCTCCTACGGTTACGGAGGGAAGTTTGGAGTGGAGAAAGACCGCATGGACAAGGTCAGGTCACACCCCAATAAACTACATGTTATAACGTTTCATCATGTGATGTTGATACACTACATGACCAAAAGTATGTGGACACCTGCTCATCGAACATCTCATTCCAAAATCATGGGCATTAATATGGAGTTGGTCCCTCCTTTGCTGCTGTAACAGCCTCCACTCTTCTGGGAAGGCTTTTCACTAGATGTTGGAACATTGCTGCGGGGACTTGCTTCCATTCAGCCACGAGCATTAGTGATGTCGGGTGCTGATGTTGGGCGATTAGGCCGGCTCGCAGTCGGCATTACAATTCATCCCAAAAGTGTTTGACGGGGTTGAGGTCAGGGCTCTGTGCAGGCCAGTCAATTTCTTCCACACCGATCTCGACAAACCATTTCTGTATAGACCTCGCTTTGTGCACGGGGGCATTGTCATGCTGAAACAGGAAAGGCCTTCCCCAAACTGTTGCCACAAAGTTGGAAGCACAGAATCGTCTAGAAAGTCATTGTATGCTGCAGTGTTAAGATTTCCCTTCACTGGAACTAAGGGGCCTAAACCATGAAAACCACCAAACTTTACAGTTGGCACTATGCATTGGGGCAGGTAGCGTTCTCCTGGCATCCGCCAAACCCAGAGTCATCCGTTGGACTGCCAGATGGTGAAGCGTGTTTCATCACTCCAGAGAATGCATTTCCACTGCTCTAGAGTCCAATGGCGGCGAGCTTTACACCACTCCAGCCGATGCTTGGCATTGCGCATTGTGATCTTAGGCTTGCTGCTCGGCCATGGAAACCCATTTCATGAAGCTCCCGACGAACAGTTATTGTACTGACGTTGCTTCCAGAGGCAGTTTTCCAGAGGACAGACTATTTTTACGCGCTTCAGCACTCGGCGGTCCCGTTCTGTGAGCTTGTGTGGCCTACCACTTTGCGGCTGAGCCGTTGTTGCTCCTAGACGTTTCCACTTCACAATAGCAGCACTTACAGTTGACCAGGGCAGAAATTTGACGAACTGACTTGTTGGAAAGGTGCCATCTTATGACGGTGACACGTTGAAAGTCACTGAGCTCTTCAGTAAGGCCATTCTACTGCCAATGTTTGTCTATGGAGATTGCATGGCTTTCTGCTCAATTTCATACACCTGTCAGCAACGGGTGTGGCTGAAATAGCCGAATCCACAAATTTGAAGGGGTGTCCACATACTTTTGTATATATAGTTTATTTCACTCATAAGGTCTTCAGTGAAGTCCAAATAACACACTAAGCACAAGGCAATGCAGTGCAGTGTTGCTAACCCCAAAACGTATGCGGTCAGACAGTACAGTTGTGTGTGCTGACCTATTGCAACTTTTATGGACTTCAACAGTTTATCAAAGATCGTTTCCTGTGTTGATGTATTATGCATGTGTAATTACCCAGGGGGCAGTGGGGCATGGCTACGTGGCGCAGGTGGAGCAGCACTCATCCCAGACAGATGCAAAGAGAGGATTCGGGGGGAAATTTGGAGTGCAGAAAGACCGTGTGGATAAGGTGAGGAAACTATACTCGTACTGACAAATACAAAGATATCACAGGATTTGATGAAAAGGGTGAGGGATCGTCCTGGTGATGAACATTCCTTCTCTCTTCCTGTAGTCTGCCATGGGTTTTGAATACAAGGGAGAGGTGGAGCAGCACACATCTCAGAAAGGTACAGCCTTAAGGAAGTCTCATACACTTTCACATACTTTCTGGTTTCCAAGTAAGCCGACTGCATGTTGTTGTCCAAACCCAGCTAATCCTGGCATCTTTCTCACTCTGCTTTTATCTTTCAGACTATTCTAAGGGATTTGGAGGGAAGTTTGGGGTGGAGAGGGAGAAGGTGGACAAGGCTGCCTTGGGTTACGACTACAAGGGAGAGACAGAGAAGCACCAGTCTCAAAAAGGTTAGAGTGGTACTGTACTGTGGGCTGTTTGTAGGTAGAAACGTTTCATGGTCAGTTATTAATATTAGATCTCTAATTCATATTTGAAACAACCTCATCCCTCACTCTCCCTCACCAGACTATTCAAAGGGTTTTGGAGGGAAGTTTGGGGTGGAGAGGGAGAAAGTGGACAAGGCCGCCTTGGGTTACGACTACAAGGGAGAGACAGAGAAGCATGAGTCACAGAAAGGTCAGTTACACAGTTTTAACCACATTTGTGTTTGTAAAAGTCAAGGACCATGTCCACATTAAACTGACCTTTGATCTCCATGTTCAGACTATGCCAAGGGCTTTGGGGGACGCTATGGAGTCCAGGCAGACCGCATGGATAAAGTGAGTCTTTATCTCAGGATGACAGTAATTCTTGAACCATTTTACATTGACCTGCACCAACACACTCAGGCTATGACGTTTACTCATTGATTGGAATTATGGTTCCCCAATCCCCATACGCTCTATAGAGTGCAGTGGCCTTCACAGACATGGAATCCCCTACCTCTGCCTATGAGAAGACACTACCATTGGAGGCATGTAAGTATGCGCTTTATTGTTCCTCGTAGAAAGGCTAAAGTTGTTCTGCTTGCTAAACATTTACTACAAGTTCAAAGAGGAAAATACTGTTTTTGTTTTTCCTGTCTGTCTGTGCAGCAAGTGCAGGGGCAGGCAACCTGAAGGCTCGCTTTGAAAACTTGGCTCGGTCATCAGATGAGGAGAACAGGAAGCGAGCGGAGGAGGAGAGAGCCAGGAGACAGGCTAGAGAGAAGAGAGAGCAGGAGGAGGCGCGACGCAGACAACAGGTACTGCAATAAAAATGGTACTCCAATAAACACGCACACACTGACACAGCGGTCTGTATCTCTTGTAGGAACAGAACAGCAGGGAGGAGGAAGCAGAGCAGCAGAGGCCTCCACCTATTGAAGAGCAGAGACCTCAACCTGTTCCAAAGCAGAGGCCTCCACCTGTTGAAGAGCAGAGACCTCCACCTGTTGAAGAGCAGAGACCTCCATCTGTTCCAGAGACCAAGAGGAAGCCCCAACCACCACAGGTGCCCACTGCCAGGGCAGTGCCTCAGATACCAAGAGATGAACCTGAGCCAGTGGTAAATATCTCTGATTTAATTCAATGCAACTCACTGATGAACTAAAAACTGTAATTTATTTTTCACTGCCACGTTATAGAATTCATTGGTGAAATTCACATCTACTCCTTTTCTGTGGTCTCAGGAGGAAGAGGAGGAGGAGCCAGACTATGACCAGCCCCCGTACCTGCCCCCACGGTCAAGTGACCTGCTGGAGGCGGAGCCACCTCAGGAGCAGACCCAATCAGAACCAGAGCAGGATGAGGGAGAGTATGAGGATATCGCACCAATACGTTTAGCTGTCGCAGTACCTGCTCCAGGTTAGTGTGCCACACCCAGTGGGGTAGAGGGGTTGGGTAACCCATTACTGAGTCATATCAAAAGACTGACTCTTCCATGTGTCCCATCTCCAGCTGTGGATAATGACTATGAGGACCTGACATGCGGTCAGACAGCAGTGGCCATTTATGACTACCAAGGAGGTAGGTACTCTACTGTATCAGTGACTGCGTTGTGATATCATGTCACAATTCTCATCTATTTATTGGCCATACTGTGATGTAGGTACTTCCATTGTGGATCAATACAGTAATCAATGCTAAACATTGCTCAACACACAGAAGTCCATAAACCCTTTCGGAGACAAAATACTAAAATAATGTTATTCTCACACATGAAGAGGCAGATGATGAGATCTCCTTCAACCCGGATGATGTCATCACTAACATAGAGATGGTGGACGAAGGCTGGTGGAAGGGACAGTGTCACGGACGCTTCGGACTTTTCCCTGCTACATTCGTGCAAATGATGTAGTGAGCTTGCCTATACAGTCTCCAACACACAGACATATACCTGAGTCCATAGGACCCATGAGCTGTGGGTCTTTTCACAGGGGGAACATAAGCACATTGCTCCAATCTGACAGGTATAGTTTGATTGTACCATGGGAGAATCTCAGTTGCATACTCCTCTATCCTCACCTTCTCAATACCTATTTTTTTATTTCACCTTTATTTAACCAGGTAAGCCAGTTGAGAACAAGTTCTCATTTACAACTGCGAACTGGCCAAGATAAAGCAAAGCAGTGCGATAAAAACAACAACACACGAGTTACATATGGGGTAAACAAAACATAAAGTCAAAAATACAACAGAAAATATATATACAGTGTGTGCGAATGTAGTAAGTTATGGAGGTAAGGCAATAAATAGGCCAGTGCAAAATAGTTACAATTTCGTATTAACACCGGAATGATAGATGTGCAAAAGATGATGTGCAAATAGATACTGGGGTGCAAATTAGCAGGAGAAGGTCAGAGGGGAGGGAACTCTGGCTTTCTCATCCAATGGGTTTTGAGGTGAGGACGCAAGGAGTATGCAATTGAGATTCTCCCCATGTGTTTTCTAGTCAATTGATTTATATCCGGTCAGTAGTCATGCCATATAATGGATAGTCATTGTGCTTCATATTGCTCAGGGTGGGATGCAGGGCTTCACCTTATAAAGGCTGATTGCTAAATGGTCCAGTGATATTCTCATACACTTGCATTTCAAAGGATTATGTAAGTCATTTAGCTATGGAATGTGATGTTTAAAAACAATAATGATTACCTACAGAGAATTACGTATTTTGGCTATTGATGGAATTATTAACTTGAATTACATTTTCATACTTTGGCAAATCATAATATCTGAAACGCCAGGTTAAAAATGTTATTTCTAGAATCAACTGCATGTAATCAATAAAATGTCTTAATTTACAGAAACACATTTATTTACTCCAACATGACAGCCAGAAGATTATATGGACAGTATGTTACATGTATAATTAATGTCTTTGTACTGATGGGCTAGGCCACAGGGAGAAGAGCAAATCAAACAGGAATGGAGCTACCAACAGGTAGTAGCATTATTGGGGTGAAAGGTGAAGAAACTGCCATATTTTCTTCTGTATACCACAGCAATAAGAAAACATGGCTTTCATTCAAGTGAATTATGTCAATGCAGTATTATACAATTGTGCCCAACACACAACTGTCGTGTTTCCTTTCATACATTAAATGGGCGTACAGACAATGGGTTGCACAATATAGATCCTTTGCCTCATATCACCATTTAACTTTTAACACAAGACAAATTAAGTCCACAAAGATCATGTGTTCAATCTCCGATACATGATATTCAAGGCTTGTGTGTCACAGGTTCTAAGTTAGAAGTCCTTTGGTTTTCTCCAGGCTACCAGGCAAGGCCCTTCTTTTTTTTGTTGGCCTTTCCTCCGGATTTCTTCGTCATGCGTTTGCCTTTCAGTTTCTTAGCCTGTCGTTGGCTCATCCACGTTGGGTACTGTCCGTGCTCGTCCAATTGGGTCGTCTTACTGCGCTTGCTGTCCATGTCCATCTTTCCATCTGCAAAGCAAAAACAAAAGGTGTCAAAACTCAAAGACATGGGAAAGGACACAAAATGCTTGATCTATGGGCGTGTGATCTATGTGTGTGTTCTCACCATCGACTTCCTCTCCCTCCATGTCTGCATCCACTTTCTTCTCCTTTATCTTGGCAGCTGGCACCACTGTAGCTATGTCCTGAATGTCATTCATGGAGATCTCTCCTGTGCCACCGTGGGCCAAGGCTTGCTTTAGCCGAGCCAGTTCCTTAGGGGCGTTCTTCGCTCTCTTCACTGCACGCATCTTCCTCTTCCATTTACTTCGTAGACTTTTGGCCATTTTAAGGTTTTCTGAAAGACAGGGTTACATAATGGAAACACGGATCCACTTGCATAAGACATCTTGACTGGCTTTAACTCTAGTTCAGTGACAGTCCCTGCAGAGCCATACACATAAGACTGAGTTCTTGGCTCATGTAAACACTCATGCCATCAACTCCTATCATGCCACGTTAGCTAGCCAGCAAAGACATTCGTCTAGCCCAAATCCCCCTCAATCATAAATCGCCGTTCTTGTATAATTAATCATGATGAACTGCCGTTAAACTGTCCATGATTTTACTGTCCTTAAATGTGCAAGACTTCACATAAACATGCATTTTAGCTAGCTAACGTGGCTAATAGCTACCTTGCTAAAGAAAACTGATTGTTTTAGAACAATCGATAGGCCTATTCCATTCGATGTTTTTGTACTTAAATAACTCATATTCGGTGTACTCAATTTACTCCTATTCATGGTATCGTAAAGAATAAAAGACTGTCAACATACATAGACGCAGATGTATCTTCCGTACAGTTAATAAGCAGTCAGCGCACACGTGTTTGTATATTCGACAACCGTAAAGCATGTCAGACGGTCGTTATGTTGGACACATTTGCGACAATCTACGCCCTCTTCATTTACCTTCTTCTTCTTCTTCAGTGGGGTTTATCGGCGGTTGGCATCCAACGTTATGGTGCATTACCGCCACCTACCGTACTGGAGTGTGGGCCAGAGACAGGGATAAACTAAATCCTACCTGCCAACCCCGTTTCTCTTAAAAAAGATAACAAAATATTTGAGACTATATGTAATGACGCTCTACTCAATATACTCTTTAAACTAATTTCCTGTATCCCCTTCTCCCTCATACTACATCTCACCCTCTCTCTTTCCCTCTGATACTGCTCACACTGTAGCAATAAATGCTCCACAGTCTCTATTTCCTGACAATAATCACACTTTCCTGATGGATGCTTTCCTATCACATTTAATGTCTTATTCAACTGGCTGTGTCCCAATCTTAATCTTGTAAAAATAGCCTCCTCTCTTCTGCCCCTTCCTGCCGTCCTCCCCTCCCCGACTTTCCTCTGTACTTGAAATAAATGCCTTCCCTTTTTATTTACATTCCACTGCTCCTGCCATTCCCTGTAGCTCAGTTGGTAGAGCATGGAGCCGACAAACGCAAGGGTTGTGGGTTCGTTTCCCACGGGGGGCCAGTATGAAAATGTATGCACTCACTAACTGTAAGTCGCTCTGGATAAGAGCGTCTGATAAATGACTAAAATGTTGTCGTATCGGGTGAATGCTGGCAATTATTGCTGTCAACAAAGAGTCCGCTTAGGCTGCACCATGATTAGAGGCTTTTATTAATATCACAAGGTTACAGCATAAGTTACAGACCCGCGGTGTCTGGAGAACGGCGTCCCAGATTGCAATGGCCGTTCTGCCCTTTCTTTGTCTAGCCCCTATTTATAAACAATGCAAAAAGATGGGTGGCTCCCTCTTCTGGCCAATCACCAGTCTCCCCTGGGGCGTCACCCTCCAAACGGCTACATTTGACCTAACATAAACAACATTCCTTTTCTTCAAGAAAAACATTTAACAAAGGCATAATCCCAATACACGACAATGTCAATGTAATCTCTTCACCATCACTGTATATATCAGTCGTTTTGCCTCTGCTTTGCTCATTGACACTTTAACATCAACATCCCCACTACTAAGTGCTTGTTTAGCCTGTTCATCTACCGCCTCGTCCCCTCCACCCCCACATGGGCTGGAACCCATGTAAATCTTATCTGAATACCCATCTGTTTAATCCTGCCATGGGTTTGTAGCACCTCATAAAGCAGGTCTTGTCTGCTACGTGAGCTGAAGGACTGGAGACTCATTAACACTGCACATGAATCAGAGCAAATAACTACTCTGTCTGGCTTGACTTCCTCCACCCACTGCAAGGCCAACAGTATGGCCATCAGCTCCGCCGTATATTTATTTATTTATATTTATTTTATTTCATCTTTATTTAACCAGGTAAGCCAGTTGAGAACATGTTCTCATTTACAACTGCGACCTGGCCAAGATAAAGCAAAGCGGTGTGATAAAAAAACAACAACACGGAGTTACATATGGGGTAAACAAAGTCAAAAATACAACAGAAAATATATATACAGTGTGTTCAAATGTAGCAAGTTATGGCGGTAAGGCAATGAATAGGCCATAGTGCAAAATAATTACAATTAGTATTAACACTGGAATGATAGATGGGCAAGAGATGATGTGCAAATAGAGATACTGGGGTGCAAATGAGCAAAATAAATAACAATATGGGGATGAGGTAGTTGGGTGGGCTAATTTCAAATGGGCTGTGTACAGGTGCAGTGATCGGTAAGGTGCTCTGACAACTGATGCTTAAAGTTAGTGAGGGAGATAAGAGTCTCCAGCTTCAGAGATTTTTGCAATTCGTTCCAGTCATTGGCAGCAGAGAACTGGAAGGAATGGCGGCCAAAGGAGGTGTTGGCTTTGGGGATGACCAGTGAGATATACCTGCTGGAGCGCAGACTACAGGTGGGTGTTGCTATGGTGACCAATGAGCTAAGATAAGGCAGGGATTTGCCTAGCAGTGATTTATAGATGGCCTGGAGCCAGTGGGTTTGGCGACAAATATGTAGTGAGGACCAGCCAACAAGAGCGTACAGGTCACAGTGGTGGGTAGTATATGGGACTTTGGTGACAAAACGGATGGCACTGTGATAGACTACATCCAATTTGCTGAGTAGAGTGTTGGAGGCTATTTTGTAAATGACATCGCCGAAGTCAAGGATCGGTAGGATAGTCAGTTTTACGAGGGCATGTTTGGCAGCATGAGTGAAGGAGGCTTTGTTGCAAAATAGGAAGCCGATTCTAGATTTAACTTTGGATTGGTGTTGCTTAATGTGAGTCTGGAAGGAGAGTTTACAGTCTAACCAGACACCTAGGTATTTGTAGTTGTCCACATACTCTAGGTCAGACCCGTCGAGAGTAGTGATTCTAGTCGGGTGGGCGGGTGCCAGCAGCGTTCGATTGAAGAGCATGCATTTAGTTTTACTAGTGTTTAAGAGCAGTTGGAGGCTACTGAAGGAGTGTTGTATAGCATTGAAGCTCATTTGGAGGTTTGTTAACACAGTGTCCAATGAAGGGCCAGATGTATACAAAATGGTGTTGTCTGCGTAGAGGTGGATCTGAGAGTCACCAGCAGCAAGAGCGACATCATTGATATACACAGAGAAAAGAGTCGGCCCAAGAATTGAACCCTGTGGCACCCCCATAGAGACTGCCATAGGTCCAGATAACAGGCCCTCCGATTTGACACATTGAACTCTATCGGAGAAGTAGTTGGTGAACCAGGCGAGGCAGTCATTTGAGAAACCAAGGCTATTTAGTCTGCCAATAAGAATGCGGTGGTTGACAGAGTCGAAAGCCTTGGCCAGGTCGATGAAGACGGCTGCATAGTACTGTCTATTATCGATCGCGGTTATAATATCGTTTAGGACCTTGAGCGTGGCTGAGGTGCACCCATGACCAGCTCGGAAACCGGATTGCATAGCGGAGAAGGTACGGTGGGATTCGAAATGGTCGGTGATCTGTTTGTTAACTTGGCTTTCAAAAACTTTCGAAAGGCAGGGCAGAATGGATATAGGTCTGTAACAGTTTGGATCTAGAGTGTCACCCCCTTTGAAGAGGGGGATGACCGCGGCAGCTTTCCAATCTCTGGGGATCTCAGACGTTACGAAAGAGAGGTTGAACAGGCTAGTAATAGGGGTTGCGACAATTTCGGCGGCTAGTTTTAGAAAGAAAGGGTCCAGATTGTCTAGCCCAGATGATTTGTAGGGGTCCAGATTTTGCAGCTCTTTCAGAACATCAGCTGTCTGAATTTGTGTGAAGGAGAAGCGGAGGGGGGGGCATGGGCATGTTGCAGCGGAGGGTGCAGAGCTGGTGGCCGGGGTAGTGGTAGCCAGGTGGAAAGCATGGCCATCTGTAGCAAAATGCTTGTTGAAATTCTCGATTATTGTAGATTTATCGGTGGTGATAGTGTTTCCTAGCCTCAGTGAAGTATATACAGCCAGATGATCTGTAATACGTTTCCTGACTTCCACCCCACATTCCTGCACTACAAATGCTGAACCAGTACGTCCTGTCCTTGGATCTTTTGAACCATCTGTGTAAATGGCCACAAAATCCTGATACACAGTTTCCAGACGTCTCTTAAAGAAATCAGCTGGATCAACACCCTCCCCATCTTTCTGTAGTCTCTCCAACACTTCTAGATCAACTACTGGAGACGGGAGTAGCCATGGTGGATTTTTCATTTACTATCATACTGTGAGTATTTATTTAATCGAAAACCTACAACCTACATATTTAGTGTGAAACATTATCAGTGGTGGATAACTGACAAACTTTCTTCCTGATGCACTTATTCTCAATTTATCGATACACATTATCAGCTATTCTGGTGCAGTTCGCAGTTCTTCCAGGAGATGGAGAGCTCATTCTATACTGCAAGCCAAAGCCACCTGAGTCTCATTAATGATCATCCAATTATCCACAAATTCACATCTGCTCCAGAACAAATGTTGAACAACTTTGACCTCTGTCTGCAAAAACAAAAGGCAAACGAAAAGCAAAGTATGTGAGTACAGTCAATTATAAATTATATGTAATACGATCACAACAATTGAATGATCTACAACCATTCATGATGAATAAATTATTATTGGCATGGCATGGTTGAAATGTCTTTGTACTAATTCAAATGGAGAATTTGCAAGACTGCAGTTTCTTCTGGGACTGCAGGTCATCTAGCTAAACCCATTAGACAGATTGAGGCTCATGGTGTAAAATCCAAGGGCAGGTTCTATTTTAGCCCCACTCGGAGCATGGCCCTACATACAGTAGGCCTCCACTCCTCCCCAGGAGATGTGAGTTGAGCCCCACACTGTTTTCCAGCTGCCCTCCTCGGCTCCCTGCTCACTCAAGTGGAGGCCAACCAGCCCCAAC